AGATACCACTCCGATGTCTTCTTGTGTGTCTTTTTTTAAAGTATTTTTCGTCTAGGTGGTATAACGCTCTTAAGAGAGTGATGAAGAATAGCATAATTAGAATAATGAATACGATATACGAAATTATTAGAAAGGAGAAACCATACAGAGGACTTTTCTAAATTTATGTTTGATCAGGCTTGTATTCTATGGTTATATGTATGCTATCATGAGGTATTAAGGCTGTGATGAGTTCAAGCTTGTTCAAAGTCATCATTGGGTGGACTCTCAGGGTCCAGAGGCCCCTGCGTTGTGTTGAGACCTCCGGCATCCAGCTGCACAGGAGGCCCAACCAAAGACCGGCGATGATGACGCATGTCGAGCTTCTCACTGGTTTCTTCAGTGCCCGAGGGATCTTCGCTAGTAGGTTCATCTCGGGCATCGAATCCCCTCGCTTCAAGATATTCAACCTTGACAGCATGACGCAGATTCTCAACGAAGCTCTGCATCTCAGGCATGGGGAACACCCCGTCAGCCTGCAGCACGTCAGCATAGAGACGCTCTGCTTCTTCCAGACAGGCTGAAGCTAGGGTTGGTTGGCCAGCTTTGAGCCATTGATCAGCAGCAAGGGTGCTCCACATGCCGGCTTTTCGGCGACGACCACCCCATTTCGCCGCTCCAACTGGTGTCTTTGAAGCATAGCAAGCTGCTACCCTTTCGGTGTATAAGATCTGACCCAAGGGGCCTACAAGACCAAAGTCCATGACCCGCATGGCCCATTTGGCTGCACTCTCGGTGGCTGACCCGCCACGAGACTTCAGAAGTTCAACAGCTAGCGATAAAGAGCGCAGTGCATGTGTCGCATCTGAACAACGTGTAAGATAGGAGTAGCAAGCAGTCTCGAACATTTGGTCCACGCTCTCAAGCTTGATTTTGGCTGATGTGGCCAATGGATTTAGAAGCATGCTGACAGCGCACATTTCATGTGCACCAGCATGGTATTTCCAGGCTTTGTCATTGCCATAATCTGATCGAATCATGTCATATGTGGACGCAGCTAGCTTCCAATCGCGGAGCATGAACGCATAGTCCGCCATCTTCCGCAAGACAGCCTCCGGGGAGTCTGGACTATAAGAATGTTGTGTTGGATCGTAGTTCCCGCTGTTGCCACCCGACGATCCTCCAATACTTGAACGCGAACTTGAACCGAAGCCAGCCCACCGCCGAGACATCGACATAAATCTGCCACTTATACCACGCCTCCGAGATGCAACCTGGTCGTTCCAGACAGCTACTTTATTTTCCATGAATGGGATGACGGATTGCACCACGAGTTCTCGAATGAACGCCCTAATCGCAGTAGCATCGGACCCAAAGAGATATGGTGTACCATCAGTACCGAGGTCAACCAAGGCTTCTAGCAAAAGGTTAGCTTATGTCTGAGTATGTAACGGCAAAAACTTGCCTGCTTCACCTGCTCCCGACAGATGCTCTGATGGTGAGAGCCATTCGCACTGGGGAACTTGCATGCTATCATCGTCTGTCACCACACACTGGCTGCTCCGAAGTCTTAAAAGATGACAGTGCAGCCCAAAGTGCCGCTTCATCTGATCATAAAGCTTAATAGATTCCGTGATATCGTCTCGTTCCTCGTCATGAACTAGAACATAATACCGAAGATACTCCTGGTTGACCCAGTCGGGTAGTTGTTTGTCCCCAGTGGTACCATCAGCATATAGCTGCCTGAGTGTCTCCAACGGGGCTGCGTTGCGTGAACTGATGGCTATGACATTGGCTACCGGGTGGCCAAATGTCTCGTGGGGCGCTGTAGGTGCCGAACACAGCAGTTGTTGCAAGAATGACTTGGATAATGGTGTTGTTGCAGGGAGTCCCAAAACATCCTTTGTGCGTACCGATGCACCAAGCATGCCATTTAAACCGTCCAATTGCTTGGCCAATACTTCTTCCATCTGCGCCAGGGGCCCAGAGTCTCGACTAGCCGGAGCCCTACCGATCCCTTTGAAATCGGCAAGGCGTACTCCATAGTCCTCCCAGGCACGACTCGAGCCTATACTGTCCCGAATCACCACCTTTCCGGAAACTGTTTCTCCAAAGGGCCGGATCAACTCCCAGAATCCCCCCTTGAACCCCCTTGTTCCTCACCAAATCGTCGGTATCCTCGGAGGCATGAACTGCAATCGTAGGTGAGAACGACCGGATAATTGATGATCTTATATCTTCCGAGCCATCGGACCTTCCATCAAAAGGCGAACCGATTGATGACCTTGCTAACTGTGGAGTGGAAGACCTCCCAGAGCGCGAGTGCGACGAGCCAGTTCGTATTGGTAGATCGGCGATCGTGCCTGAAAGAGGCGTCGGCGAGGAGACTGACCGGGATTCTGCCAATTCTGCATCTAGAGATTGCGTAGTTTCATGCTCCCCGGGGTATCGTGATGGTGATGTGGATGCGACTCGCGCAACGCCGGGGGAGAAGGACGGCGGAGGTTTGACCGGAGCAGCATCTCCGGGCGATGTCATGGGCGGACACCTGCTGCTTTGTGCAGATTTAAAGCGAGTTTAGTTGATCGATAGGACCCATCGACTGGTAGATGAGGTCGTACAAGGTGTAATAGAGCGAGTGGGATGCGGCTTCACGGAGGTGTTGTTGGGGAGAAAGCCAAGTCGACGGATTCGGGCCGATAAGCACTGACACGGGCAACAACAAAATAGAGTGACAGAACTCGTGGGCAGGTTGGGCCACTGGGTACTAAAAACTTTGAAGGAAGTTGAGGATCGTCTTGTCAATTGTAAATGCAACACGGAGTGTACTTAGGTAGAAGCTGATTGTCGATCTCCAAGTGGTGATGCAAACCACGTGAGGGCCATGCTTATCGACAATCAAACTGACTCACTTTCTCAGAGCATCTGATCAGGCTATGTTCAATGCTGTCACGCCCTTTCGTGTGTCTATTTAAGGCTTCTGGTCTCCCTTCAGTTAAAGCTCCACTTGCCCGCACTCTAGCGAGAAGAGCTGGTCAAATACGCCCGTTTCAACAACAAGTACCCCTCCGAACTTACTCTGCATCTGTACCTTGTCGCACTTCCATGCGCAACCCCGAATCGGACCCGGACTTCCCAGAACAAGTCAGAAAGAGGCGACGAATTTCTTCCCCGACGCGGGAAGCCTCGTATGCAACCATGAGCCCCGCCATGCCTACCATCGAGCTCACTCCGCTTGAGAGCACCCTGCGAACCCTACTCCTCGATGTCGCACAATACATCACCGAGCAGAAAATGGCGGAGGGAGGCAGCGCAGCGAAGGAGCACACCGAGACTGTCTTGCGCTTCACAGGCGGGTGGGTCAGGGACAAGCTGCTCGGAGTTGAGAGCCATGATATCGACGTGGGCATCAGCAACATGACGGGATACCAGTTTGGTATGGCCCTAAAAGACTACCTGGATATCCCAGAGAACCTTGAAAAGTACAAGACAGGCCCAAATGGGGAAATGCACGATGCCATTGTGAGCCTTCACAAAATCGAGGCCAACCCGGAAAAATCAAAGCACCTCGAGACCGTTACAACCAGGATCTTCGGCCTGGATATTGATTTGGTCAATCTGCGCAAGGAAACATACACGGATGACAGTCGAAATCCGCAAATGGAGTTCGGCACCGCTGTCGAAGACGCTCTGCGGCGCGATGCAACTATCAATGCGCTTTTCTACAACCTTAACGAGTCACGGCTGGAGGATTTCACTGAGAGAGGACTGGACGACATGAAGAAAAATATTATTCGATGCCCAATGGAACCATACCAAACCTTCAAAGACGACCCACTGCGTGTGCTTCGATTGATCCGCTTTGCGAGCAGACTGGGGTACCAAATCGAGCCCGAAACCGAAGCTGCTATGCAGATTGAAGATATCCGCGAAGCATTGAAGCTCAAAATCAGTAAAGAGCGAGTGGGAGCAGAGTTGGAAAAGATGTTGCGTGGTGAGTGATTGCGCTTGCTCTTGCCCGGTACCTTACATTTCTAACCAGTCGTATCTTATATCCTAGGCCCCGACCCTCGCGGTGCATTGCAGTTCATCGATCGACTCCAACTATTTTCCACTATCTTCGCCAATCATCAGGACGAAGTGAAGGCTGATACATCAACATGGCCCCTTGCCTACAATACTCTGGCACGATTGCTGCACCCAGAGGCCGGTGATAGCGAGGAACTTAAGGCAGTTACTAAGCGCATTTGTGAGATCCTGTTCCGCGATGAAAGTACCATATACTATGCCTGGATCATTGCAACCTTTGCTCCCTGGACTTCGATCCCCGGCCGTACCGGGAAAGGGTCCAAGCCCTTGCCCCCGCGAGCGGTTGAGGTTGGCAGGGACAGCCTTCGCAGTGATAACAAGACGCTCAATGCGCTCCGCGCTGCTGCTCTGCATTACAAGGAAACAATTGCGACTAAAACTGCTCTTCTCGCGAACGAGATTAGTGGAACACCGGCAGAAATCCGGCAGCATATTGGGTTGCAAATGCGGTCGTGGAATAAGGACTGGAAGCTTTGCGTTCTCCTGGCTATCCTGCAAGAAAACATGGCGCTTCGTGACTTTGCAGAAGGTAAGATCCACCACCCCCTAACGATAACCTCACAATACTCACTATGTGTAGTGGCCCGTGAATACGATCAGTTCCTTGCGTACATTGTAGAAAAAGATTTGGAGGGCGTTTGTGAGCTCAAACCCATTGTAAACGGCGACGAAATTATGAAAAGTTTGGGTGCTAAAAAGGGACCCTGGATGTCCAAAGCAGTTAACATGGCCATGGAATGGCAACTTCTTCATCCTGATAGCACCGACAAGGAAAAGGCGCTGGAGGAGATCGCGGGTCGACGAGCAGAATTGAAGTGACGTCCAGATGAAGATCCCGATGACAAATGAAAACACCCGGACAACTTAAACTACTTGAACTCCGAATGTTTACAACTTTTTCTCTTCCATTTTAATTGTAAATATTTTCAGCAATGGATAAATTGCGCAAAGAAGCCCGTGAGGCACTCGTGCAGAGTCCTGGCAAAATGCCCATCGGTTTCTTCCCCGCCGTTGCGGCTGCGTCCAAAAGTGATTTGCATCAATTATGGCAGGACATTGCTGCTTACGATCACTCGACGCATTTGAATGTATGTTTCTATCAATTTGAATTAAGGCAAATGAACTAATCATCCAGATCTGCGAGAGCCTGGTTACAGCGACCAGTTATATCGATTACTGGGATGGGATGCTGCCAAATGACCAAGGCCCGCGACCCTTGAAACCAGCCGAAGCGAAAGCAGTAAACAACTTATTCGACTGGGCCAGTGCTGCTGCTTTGCCTTCATCGGACTTTGCAGTTGATTTTGATGAGACTGCCGAGGTTTCAGACGGTAAGTGTTTTTATCAACATATGAAGCTTTTACTAATTATGCCGCACAGATATCATCAAAGCCCAGAACGAGAGTCGGTTTAGGTCCGAGCTCGCTCTGGAGCTGATTCTAGTTTTAAACAAGCCCTTGGCGGGACTGCCAAATGGCAAACCAGAAAATGCAGCGGATATTCTTCTCGCGGGGGCATGTTTTGTCAATAAGCAAAACCCATGGGCCACATCAGACAGCTACAATGCGGCGTCGATGCTCATGAACTTGTGGGTTCAAGACACTCGTCGCGGTAATAAATTCTGGCCCGCTATCGACTTCATCCTCAAGGAGAGAATTAGACCTCTTTTTGCAAAGACAAAGAATCCCGCCATTACCAGTGCCGGCCGTAAGAACTTCCATCCTCAGACTCTCCCTCGCTTCGGTGTAAGCGATGTAGACGCATCGGCCAAGCCATGGAAGACAACAGACGTCTACGTCGGAGCTGTGCTGTCATGGATCCTCTCACAATACCAACCCGAAGACAAGACGCAATTCGAAACGCACTTCCAGCTTTTCGTGCCTACTATCCTAGCAATGGTCGACGACAACAACCTCCCATTCAAAACAAAAGGTTGTGCTCTACTCACTCAGCTACTGCAACCGATCCAAGAAAGCGGCTCGGACATCCTCCGACGGACAAACCTCACCTCCGTCTTCGAAGACGCCGTCACGCCGTGTCTTCTATCCCTACCATCCATCACACCCGAGGATAGATCCTTAGACCTCCTAGGAGCAGCATACCCAGCCATCCTCTCTACCCTGAAAACCGCCTACAAAGGCCCCACCCAATCTGAAAAGGATAAAGAAGCATACACTACCAGCCTCGCCAAAATCCTCCGATCAAACCTCATCTCCTCATTCCACCACGTCAGCTCCAGCACTCCAGCCTCGGGCTCAACCGCATCGTTCCCTCACCCCAATCTCTCAACATTCCTCTTAGAAAAGATAACAATCATCACCAACGAGCTGGGAATTCATACTACAAAGTATCTCCAAGAACTCATCCCAGTTCTCTACACAACACTATCAAACCCATTTGGAACAGCACACCCTCCACTACTGCTAGCTGCAGCTTCAGCTACGCAGGCGGTGATCAAGAACGCACACCCGCGTGTCTGGCGCTGGCGCGGGGAGATCCTGAGTGGACTGAGTTCGTGCTGGCTTCATATTTCCGAGGATAGCGGAGGCTCCGTGGCTGATCTGGCTAAGCTGAAGCGCGAATTGCAGCAGACGCTTCAGGTTTTGAAGCTTGTTTTGTTGAATCCTGTTGCTATTGCGTCTGATGGACCAGAGCCTGAACAGGTGCAGGTGAAGGAAAATGTGGAGAAGGAGTTCCAGGAGCTTGTTGAGGCTGATGCAGAGCTGAAGGGTCTGTTTGTTTGAGCATTACTGGCAATGTATGCCTGGGAGGTTACTTAGGAAAAGGATTATAACAACAATTGTGGCAATCTCAATTCAAGGAAGATATCTGATTGGTAGTAAATAGACACGATCTATAGGACCTTCGATAAAGTAATATAACATGCAATGAGGGTATCAATTTGCTGTACTGAGCGCCAAAACAGGAAAAAAAAAAAAGATACTCAAGTTCGTAGCATCATGGATCAACCCGCTGCTTGAAAAGACTCTTCCCGCGCAACCATTGGCGGTACCGTTTATATCTCTTCTTCTCATAGTCCTCACCCACGACAGTAAGACCATCCTCGGAGACATCCAGAAACTCGGCATAAGCAAGCATGTTTATCCCAGCCCTCGCCTCCAGCGCAGACTCCTCGACATTGCACTTATTCGCGTACTCCAGGAGATCGAGATTGTAGCCGTGGTCTTGCAGTGACGAAGCTGTCATTTCATCTTCGGATGTGACGACAAGCGGGACCTTGAGGGGGTGATTGATGTACCGCTCGTATTCTTCTGCCTCAGCACCGGTGACAGAGGGGCTCAGCGAGTCGCTGACTAGCTGGCCCAGGGTCCACTGGGCAATTTCCGCTTTGCTGGGGACGGAAGGGTCAGGGGGTTGATGGGTGGAATGCGGGATACATCGGGGATTTTGAAAACGGGCTCTTTGATGATGCCCGTAAGAGGGGGTTGTTTCTCGGATGACGGTGGTTGGTGGGCCCATATTTGTGCAGATTCGGGTATCGGGATCGTGCTTGATGAGGCGCGACTGCGGCTGGCGGATGGTTCTTGGATCTTGACGCTGCGCTGTGGTAGACGCTCGCGTTGGATTTGCTCTGGGGGGATGCGGGGCACGAAAGGACTGAGGTCTGGGACGGGGTGTCCTGGGCGGACAGGGGGTAGATAGCGGGATGTGGAGTTCATTTTCAAGGAGAAAACTTTAGAGAGGGAAGACAGAGCAAGTGGTCGGTAGTATTCCAGCCAGTAGTCGTCAAAATGCGAGAGGGGTTCTTTGGGATGGAATGGGAGGGGTGGGAACTCCCTGGGCTTTAGGTATTCTGGTGTGTACCAGGAGATGTAGCTGGGTTTCTTTCTATCAAGGTAGAATTTGGGATCGGTGTGGTGTAGATAATAATCGTTAGGAAGATCCCAAAGCATCGGAATGCCCTGCGCGAAGGTATAGTTTCCAAGAAAGAGATTATATGCCTCTTGGCGCTGAGCATCAAGGAAAGAGTTGTTGTAATACCGCTTGAAACTTTCCACCATGTCACGAGAGTGGCTACTCCATTGATTGATCTTGCGGTAGGTAGCCATGGTATTCACCAAATGCGATCCACCGTACTGAATAGCGATCGTGTCTCCATGGTCATGCCACATGTTCGTGAAGAGATTGACAGCGTCCGTATCATACTGTACAGTTGTATCATCTATGACGCCAAGAGCATGGAGCTGATATCCAAGTGCCCTCTTGCCAATGACAAACTGTGCAGCATTTGTTCGGTCAAGGCAATCGATGCAGTTGGTCCTTGCGACACCGTTCTGAAGCTGCAAGCCGGATTCTGCGTCATCCCCATTCTTGAAAAAGCCAATTTTGGGAATGATATCGCCTGCAATATCTTCTAATGTCTCAATGACATCTTGATCCCGGCTTTTTGCAGCACGACTCATATCCCATGCCTCATAAATGAGCTTTTTGTCCTCAGGAAGAAACTGGTTCAAATAAGTCACAGCGTTTGTGAACTCCTTGAGAAGTATTGACTCTCTCGGAGTTCGTTCGCGAGATTTTACCAGGTTCAGGACATAGACCGGAGCGCCATATCTTCGAAATAGATCATCGAAATGCAAAGCCGCAGCCGAGTAAAATGGATCCACGAGATTAAGCTCAATATCCGGTTTCGGTGACACTCCCGTGTTTTCTTGAGTCCAATGAAGAGGAATGCTCCCACGATGTTGAACATATGAAGTGTAGTGAGGGTTTGCATGAAGTCTCGGGCCAGCAGAATGGAATGATGTTGTTGTCTGCTCACATACAATCTGCTCAGTCTCCACATCGTTGGCCACGTATCCCAGGTCATTTGCGCCTCGTTTCAGAAAGCGGGCTCCAGCAAAGAATCGGGATCGACGCGCGATGATCGTGATGTAGACCACTCGTCCATAGACACTCATCTTTGACTGATCCACATATCCATGAATGATAGGTAGACACCACTCATAGGGATTCTTAAGAGCCTCAGCAGCTGGGGACAGGAGATGATGGTTCCAAATAAACATGGGATGGTAGTCATGTGAAGACGGTTGTGGATGGCCATCCCGGTGGGCCTCGCGATCCCGGCAGATATTATGCTGGAGTGTGCGAGTGATGTCGTAGGAATAGCTGAAATAGAAAGAGCGGGACAAGTCCAGATTATTCAAGATCGCAATATAGCGTGCCTCCTCCGACTGCTTCTCGGCCTTGGGATGTGAAGGTTCAGACGTGGTTAACGGGATCAGTTCAGTTTCATCGATCTGATAGACATTGTGACCACCCAGAACAGCAACCTGGCTCCTCTTGGTAACGAGTAGCATATAGTATGCGCCCGTGAATCGGATGAATCCAAGCAATGCCCATGCACTGCACTTCTGGTTCAACCCGCCAGAACTCTTGTTGCCGTCATCGATTGCATCCAGCAACTGAACCATCTCTCTTTTGTTGTATACCATGTCATCCTCGGTAATACTCAACTCACCGGAATCCGAGGTCCGATCAATTTTCAGAATCCGAAAACGAGTCTCCGCCAAATTGATTCCGACCATATAGAATCGGGTTGCGGTTTCGTATAGCGTAAATTTGTGCATACGGTTGATCCCTTCGTCCTCCGAGTCTGATGCTGATCGGTGCTTCTGCGCAAAAGTCGGCGAAGCCTCTCGCTCAAAGGAAGTTGCCACCTGCGGCTCCTCGTCTTCCCCGTCCCCTTCCACTTCCTCCTCAATCCGAGCTCCAGGCGGCGGGTTGTACGGCAACGGGAAATCCGACACGACGGAGGCGTCATCGACTATTCCAGCATCATCTGTGCGCTCTATCTGCGACGACGATCTGATGCTTGTCGTTTGGGTCGAAGTTGGTCCCCCTGTGGTTTCTTTCGCCAAATTCGGGTCTGAAGAGCACGGAATCGGGAGATGCTCATCGTGGAAAGGTGTATCCTGGGACACTAGTCCGATAAGAGAAACATCATCAAAGCTCTCCATATCTGAAGAGGTTCAAATCGACTCAAGATGCAGCTGGAAAGGCAGCATATTCAGATGATTTCAGGTCAAAGGCGATGTTTTGGAGTTCAAAGAGGGAGGTCCCCACACATGACGTCGCAGTAAATAGCGGCCAATCGGTCATCACGGCCTTGTATAAGTAACTAGGTGATCCCTTTTCATCTTGGACATTTAATCTATTTGGGCGACCCTCGTATGTGCCCTAGTACCGGTCTATACTATAAGACGATGTTTTTTTCGACTTCTGCTATGTACATATGTAGTAACTACTTAACCTAGGAGGTACCTAGGTAACTAACCTCTTACTAAGCACAGTGTGAATCCATAACTAGTTAGTTATCATCGTCTGTCATACTGGACGTGCCTCACCATTTCTGTACACATTAGCTGTTAAGTTCCGCCACGCAAGCGATTCGTCAAAGTCAGAGAGTCAGGAAATCTAACCTTCGGAACATTCTGGCAAATCTTTCAATCTTCCCCAATTCTTCCCCCTTTTCCCGAAAGGGGAGAACCAATGGAGTGATCCCGCGACTCCTCACTAGCCTGGGACCCTCGTCTTGTGAGGGTCTGTAATTTTGGTAAAAAAAATAGAAAATAAAAACAAAAATCCCAAGGGCCCTAGGGACAGTTAGTCCACTGCGGGACCCTTCCTAGTCGTACATAAAGGCAAAGCCCTACTCTTGAGACAACCCTTTCCTCTCACGACTCTCATGATCAGGCGTGAAATCATTTCAATCCGATGGGCTTATCGAATCTTCCGACAGAATTAGTACAAGCCATTGCGGAGCTTTTGAGCAAAAAAGATGTTTTGGTGTTCGCTCAGCTGAATCGCCAATTTTTCGATATCTTAATTGACTACCTTTACGCTCGCAATGCAAAGAAATCCAATGGGTCAGCCTTGTTATGGGCAGCAGGCAAAGGCTATGAGTCAACCGCCCGACAAGCCCTCGCCAATGGAGCCAAGCCCTCAGCAACGAACCGCAAGGGCGACACTTCTCTCCACCTAGCCACAAACGCAGGAAATCTAAGCATGGCTCGATTCTACTAAATGCCGGAGTGGATGTCAATCAGCAGAACAAATATTTGGAAACCCCGCTCAGTGCACCGGCCAGAGATGGCAACGAAGAGCTGGTAAAACTACTTCTTGATCAACTAGGGATCGACCCTGATGTGTTGGGCCGTTCCCGAATTCGCCCCCCAAGGCTCTGGCGACAAACTCCATTATTATATGCTGCGATAAATGGTCATGTTGACATCTTGAGGCTTCTTCTTGCCACAAACCGGGTAAATGTCGAGTCGAAGGATGTGCGTGGCTGGACGCCGCTGGCATACGCGGCAGCGCATGGACAGGCTAAAGTGATGAAAGTTTTAATCAAGGTGCGAGCGATCCGGTTCGGATCTAGAGCACAATGGGATGAGACACCATTGATGCTAGCTGTGATGAATGGTCACGAGGCTGTGACCAGGATTCTCATCGAACAGGAATCTGTCAAAGACGATATTAAATGGAGCTACGGATCTACAGCTCTTTGGTTTGCGGTTTTGCACGGTCACTTAAATATTGTCAAGCTGCTCTTGGACAAAGGGTGCAATCCTCATCTCACCTGCGACATCGGCAATACACCGCTGTGGCTAGCCATCGACCGCGGGCAGGAAGAGATTGTGAAATGGATGCAGCAGTCAAAGCACCAGCCACACGTTCCGCTCAATCCCGCAGAACGGAGGAAACAAATGATAGCGAATTTAAATGCTCTAGAGATATTCAAAATGGACAGTCGACGGCGTCCTGAGTGATACTACTTCCAACTATCCTAGCGGAGTTGCTTCCCTATTGAGTCTCTTACGGCCTCGATACAACTGGTCTAGCTTGTTACAGGGTATGATTACATCGAAACTTTATCTTCCTTGTCATAGTTCCCTCAATATTCCATATTTTGTAATATACCTAAGTAACTAGTATATTGTCAGTTACCAGAAACTCCCCTAAAGACAAACTACATGTATTTTTTGTACTCCGTAATAAGTACTCTATACTATATATTAACTACTGTTAATTCGGAGTATACAGGGCTTAGTGATAACTTGGGTTGGATGTGAAATTACAACCGCTAGCATTGGGCCCACTTGAAGTGTCCATGCAATCCAAATTGGAGAGTTTGTAAAAAGGCAATCTCGCTAATTACATGCCCGTTCCGAATTAGCGAGAAAGGAATACGGTGCAGAGTACTCCGTATACGCCGTCTCAACGGCTGCTAGTGTCTTTACGCTTTTATTTTATACTCCCTCTGTTGTACCCACTACGCTGTATGTACTTCTTGCGTTGGGCGATCCTCTGGTCCACTTCATCATCTCTAGGGCTAGGATTGGCAACGTTCTTCGAAATGTATATCCACCCTACATCCTTTTGTCGCTAGGTCGCTGGCGCCTTGCGAGGCTTCCCTCAGTCCTTACTGCTGTACCCGATGAGGTTACGTTTGGAGATACGCAGAAATTAGCAGGCTGGCCAGAAGTCAAAACGGTCAAGTGTAGTTGTGAGGAGGATTGAAAGAATTAAAGTCTTTTTTTTTTCCATTTCATATGTACTTCAGACCATCCCTAGATAACCTGGTCACATATTCCATCCCCGACAATTATACAATGACTTTTATCCACTTATCAATATTCTTAGCCACTGCTTTGGCCATAACAGGAGTTCAAGCTTCGTCTGAATGTTGGACATCCGTCCACAATGAGACAATACCTCTGTTTCATGGCGCTCCAACCACCTTCAGCTATACTCTGAACACAGCCACCGATTGTCTGAACTGGTGTGGTAAAGTGGAGAAGTGTCAGAAGCTTGGGTCTTTGTCGAGCATTCAGAACAGTGTGATCTTCGCCCCAAGGCGGCACTGGCCATTGACTAAAACGCCGGCTTCACCTTTGGGGGTTGTGATCCAACCACCATCAACAGGACTCAGCTGGTCGTTGATACCCCTACCATATCACCTAGTGCTGCTTACAACAGCTCTCGTGTAGCAACGAGTCCAAGTGATTTGGTTCGTTTCCCTCTCTTCCATTTAACTCCGTCCAGAGCTGCCGCTAACAATGAGGTTCTTTCTTTTTATTTAGCCCCGTACGAAATGTGGAGTAGGCCTTCACATTCAAAACCACCACCACGGTCACCACTAAGAGAATGTTGAAGTAACAGGGTAGAATTGGAGTCCTGATTCTGTGATGAGTATATACACATGTTAGGGCTGGCTATGGTCGGGACTATCTATATTTTTTTGGGAGAACAGTCACCTGCCTTGGCTCCTTGTTGGTCAAGATGTACCTAGCTATTCAGCTGACTTCTGTTTGTCTGTAGAGAATCAACCCTTCTTCTCTCCTCTCTTTGCTCCCTTGGCAGTCAGATCGTAAAGATACCTTTACAAATGCACCTGCAACCTACCGTGAACATCACCGTTAATAGTGTTCCTTCCGGAATTTTTATAGACGAAGAGCATACACTAGGGTATTTTAAGCATTACTTAATTATAGAGTTCTCCTTAACAAATGTTAAGGGTGAATATGTCGTGCTAAGAATGTATATATATTAATGATTATTGCACCCGACAGCCTGCGTTCTCACGAAATGTCACGCACGCCCTGCAAAGCCAGCAGGCTATTCTGACAAATGTGAATACACTGTTTGCCTTCATATATGAGATATTCCACCAGGCAAAAGGTCGATGTTCCCAACTAGATCTTTTGTGTACCACTAATAGATTCAGTTCGTTTGTAGCCGCTTGTTCCTTTTGTTCATGGTACATACTTAAGTAGCAATGTATCTCACTTTTCTCTCACTTTTCAGTTGCTTCTACTATCCCGATATCCTACCTCGCTCTAGTATCTCTTACTTCCACCACATTTTCAGAGCTAGACTGATGTCCAACCTATACCGATGTATCAAAACACTCTCAAGCATAAGTGCATCGTGGAATTTTCGCTGGCAAATGCCAACGGGGAGTGGATTGTGCCAAAGGCGTCCATCAACCATGGCATGACGATAGGAGAATATGCCTCTATGCTTTGCTCCGTTGACTTATCACACCAGCCATCGAGTTCAAAAGTGCAGCGATGGCTAGGTTTCGGATTGACCATGGCAGTTTTGCGAAAGGCATACGGTGCAGGGGATTGGGGGCTCCAGACTCCGGCCCTCACTTGGGCAAAAATCGCCCAATTGATCGAAACATATGTTCAAGTACTACCAATACACATTAATCAAAGATTCTGTATAAGATATCTGACCGATTACAGAAAAACGGAAGACTGAGTGTCTTCCTAGAATGGGGCATGACGAATGGGGACTACAAATGTCTTAGCGATGGCCTAGATTCTGTTGGAAAGAGTTACCTCCTTCCACCTCGGCCCAAATGGCCTGAGCGTCCATTAGCTTGGTTCTTAGCAGTGAGAAAAGCCCTTGGGTACAACGCTGCGGACGCTCCGCTAGCATTAGGTCACCTGTACCGGGCTATTTTCCCAGAGAACACCGAGCTTGCCAATGGTTGGCATAGCTCAGATGTGGATACCAGGACGCTAATAAGGATTGTCAAGACATGCTTCCTTCTAGCCCTAGGCTAGCCAATTCCTGGCAAGATAGATTGTCATTTCAGAACAATCTTGCCAGAGAGTTTGGAGTCTAACCTCCAGCAACTTGCCATCCACGAGTCTGATGATGATGATGATGATGAGTTTGACGAGGAGGAAAGGTGGGAACAATTGTTTTACGAGGAGATGTGTGACGTGGACGATGAACCATGCGAGGGGGCTGGAGATGAGAGCGAGGAAGAGGACGAGGAAGAGGACGAGGAAGATGTAGACGAGGAAGATGTAGACGAGGAGGGTGAGGAGGAGGAGGGTGAGGAGGAGGAGGGTGAGGAGGAGGAGACCAGGGAGAACGAGGAGGAAGAATAGGAGACAACCCTTTGCCGGTCCGAGTTCCCTCCGTGTTTGACAATGTTTGACTATCTAGGATTCTTCTGTTTGACCAGACTATCCGCTCACCCATTCCCCTAGAGCTTTCCTCGGCTGTTAATCATAGAACAGTTACAAGGCCCTCAGCCGGTCCCCGGGGCTTTACTATAAGGCTATCCAAAGTCATCGCAAGCCCTCTTCTCAGCCAAACCTCGAACGCCCTATGGGTTACTTGACCTCATTTCACATGTCCTACTTTGATCTCCCAGGAAGATTGTTTGATGATGGTAAAGCCGGGCCAGGAAATACACGCTTGGGAACTCCAGTAGGGGTGGGCCTTAAAGATCCGATAAACTTCCCGGACAAAGTCACCCTAGAGGGTTGACTGCCTACCGAGTGGTGTTTCCAAATTTCACGGTTGAAGGGATTCTCCGCTGGAATGTAGACTAGCTGAACTACAAAGGTGTTCCTCCAGTACCGAACGGACTCAAACGGCAAATCGCGGCAAGCTGTTAGCCTTGAGAGAATATGAGTTTCCTCAAGGAGCACACCGATGTTGCAGGCTTCCATGGAGAACCAGCCAAGGCTCACTTGTATCGATTGATGAGAATCCCATGTGATATGGATCACGGCTATAAGCGATCTTCCTCTCAGTCAGGATCTTGAAGGAGATATCTGGAAACTGGCTACTTCCCGAGGTTCTCTCAATTGCTCTGACTCATCCCAGAAAGGTTGTGCGGGGGTGTCTCTGTTCTCCGAAATTGGGTGGCGGGGGACCTAGAAAGACAACCAGCTCTACTATCTGGACTCTGTCATTGGGCTGGAAGTATCTCGCATGTTCCAATCTTCTGACCTTCCAAGGAACCTTCCATGGTCAAGGCATTGGGTGAACAATCGGCCTCCAGCGAGACCTATCTATGTCACTAAGCACCTTCTTCGTCCATGGATACATCCGTGAACTAAACAGCATGCAGTTTTTGGTTTGACCTTTGTACATCAACTGAGGCCGGGGTCTACGTACATACCAAAGGAGAATAGTTGACGTCTGCCGCCTCTGTCCTTGAGAACAACATAATCCAGTTAGGCCCACACGGTAGTGTTTTTAGACGTCCTTTAAAATGTCTTTCTCGGCATCTTCTCAAATGTCTCTTCTTGGTTTTCTCCCTTCTCAGTTTTAGAAGTAGATGACAGAAAAAAAGTGGAAAAAGGTTTAGTTTGTGAAAAGGACTTTTCTACGTGGAACTTTTGACATTATACTCATGGACGTGATGCTACATGCCTGTGGATACGCCAAGTAGGTAAATTAAGATAGCCCTCAAACGCAGTGATCTATTCCAACAAGAAGCACCTGGGCAACAATATCTGGGTAGTATCAAGAGCCGCAACATCATCAGGAATAGTATCGGACTATAAACCTAATTTCATACCAAATCTCATACATATCACTACCTAGGAAGTTAGTATTAACTCGAGGCATATATTCTAGCCTTGGCTTCTAAAATGGAAACTGCGAGGGACACCTGTGGTTGTCTTCTGATTATAAGATTCGAACATGCAGATAATGACCTTCCTCCTGCTGCTGCACTAAACCAATACCCTCATTTGAATGCTTCAACCACATACTCCTTGAACATCCCTAATTCCCAACATGAATCGCAAATCCATGAGAAACTACCAGCTTACCAAGAAGCGACTCATGAATTCATTGGCTCTCCCCTCGAGGATGTTGTCACCAAGAACAGCGCCAACGGCCAGCAATGGCGAGACACGATAGAAGGAGTCTGCAATTCAATAAAGAAAGCTGTGAGTGGCCTATCAATCTTTGAGAAATATGCATCTTTTTATATTAACCCTTTCAGGGTCGAAAGATTGTCTTTGCAAACATCGTGTATGTTGGGACTTGAAATATCTAACCTTAATGCTTCCATTCTAATATTCTCGTATAGGGGTGCCAAAGCCCATCTGTCCTCGACGGATAAGGACGATATGCAAGAGGTTATATCAGTGACTCTTTTAACTAAGGCTGGTATTTCTGTGGGCGCACTTCATCTACATTTCGATAGCACCTGGAAGTTATTTCCACGAGGTCGCGGAGTAAAGGCTGGACACGCTCCTAAAATCAAGAGAGCGAGTCTCCCAGGGTGTATTTCGACTAATGGCACTCCCTAGGGCTGCGAAGATGGGGATTCTTGGTTTGGTAAAGACGGTATCCCGGAAATGTATGAAATCTTGGGCTCATCGAGCTGTGAAAATCAGAATACAACCATACAGCGACTGGTGGCTATATGATATGGAGGCTAGGACTATGAAAGGTATCGTTTAATTCCAAGAAGAATACTGTATCCATTAAAAATCAGATATGAGACCTTGGTGATGAGAAAGACGGTCGAATAAGGCACCTAGCAGAAATAGACTACGTAGAGTAAGACGGCGTGGGATAGGATATTTTATATACAGTTCGAGCAATAATGTACCCCCAGGCTCAAATCCAAAGCAATCTGCTATACAATGTGCGCTTAACGATTAATATATCGAACATTGGGACTACACAACCCCAGATCAAACCAATACCCTTCTCAACCCCTCAGTGCCTCCAAGCACTCTCCTTCCTGTGACAGGACATCTCCCTTTGCCACTCTCCCACTTACCAGATCGTTTGCGGGGTCCTGATTCAGCTTCATCCCCACTAGGACTTTTCTTCGTCTCTTCGTCATCACCTGTGATCTCCTCTTCCCACGGTGCGCCAGCGCCCTCGCCAGTCATGAAATCCAGTTGGCGTTGGTGCTCACCGTTCAGCCAGTGGAAGATGCACACATAACAGAACACGTACCCCGTTTGGCAGGCAGTCGGGTTAACGAGCGCACCCATGCAGACAGGGCAAGTGTTGGCGCTCGAGGTATCAGCCGGAGGCAAAGACACAGTATAGATGGGGAGGTAAGAAGTCGCAGAGATGGGAGGTTGATGGCGACGAGGAGGCTTAAGTGCGGGTTTAAGATCACCGGCAGCGCTCTTTTTCTCCTGCTCAGCCTGCTTCTTGGCCTTTTCTTTCTCGTCTTGGATTGACGATTTCCGTCGTTCCGCCGGAGAAGTCAAGCCTGCCACAACAGGGGCGGGCAGATCCAGGACCTCAGTTGCCTTACGGGCGAGCTGGCGAGAGAAATCACTCGCATGCCACCATTCTAGGAACTTGAGGGCGAAGATCGACGCGGGAAGGAAGTAACGCAGCGATGTCAAGAGCTGAGTATGAAGGTTCTGTGGACTAAGGAGACCCAGCAGACCTCCGCCGGGTCGCTGAGATCGCCCGGTGCTGGGGCCGGGCTTGGGATCTAGCACTGCGGCGATAGCGCGGTGGTCTGCGCTGCCCAGGCGGCGGATGCGCGTGCCGATAAGCCATAGGAACGGGGAGGAGTACTTTGTGTTGTCGAAGAGGTAGGCGAGGTTAAATGCCAGAACGGAGAAATAGTATGCTGCATTCACGGATGGGTAGACATTGCGCAAGAACCACTTGTAGTAGAAGAAGATGCGCTGGCGCAGCGACGGGTTGGCCGGCAGGTCGTCGCTGGGGTTATATCGGGGGCCGCCGCTGGTGACCAGGGATGCATGCGGCGCAGCATGGATGTCATACCCTTCGTCTAACTTGCGTTTTAGGTAAGGGATGCCAACCATGACAAACAAATTCTTCCAGATGTCCGTCGAGTGTAGCTTTAGGGCGTCGCGCACGGGGCCTGCGGCGCCGACCTGGGCGCGCGGGATCTCGCCATTCTTAGTGCGGAGAACACGCTCACGTTTCAGGGAATAGAAGTTTTCTGTGAAGGAGCCGCCGAATGTTCGCAGGTAGTAACGTTCGACTATTAATGAAAGGAGGGCGTAGACTTCGTCGTATGAGTTGAGGATCCGGAGGAGGTAGCGCGGGTGGCGGTGTGTTGCGACTGCGAGAAGATAACGCAAAGATGGGGGAAGAAGATCCGAGAGCTGTTGCTCAGCGAGGAGTTCTGTTGTCGAGCACGATCTTCGCGTTAGCGATTCCAGTTACGGATGGTGGGTTCCCCATGTCTGGGGTCTCCATCTACGCGGGGAAGCATCAATGGACTTACCGAAGAGCGATGGCTTGTGCTCATCGAACTCCTGTTGAAGACTAGGAAGGTACTCCATCGTCAGGAGTGCCGGTCATCCTTATCAGGGTGGTGCTTTAAGGTGTTTGAAGAGAGATGGAGAGGAAGAGTCGCGGGAACCAGTGATCATATGCCGAGGCTCAACTTATCCGAGCTGATTACGTCGCTCCGGGCAGGAGATCCATCCATGGCCTACATTCGGCGGATATTTAATTACAACTTCAATATTTCACATTAGATACGGATGTAATATTGTACACTGGATAATATATGCTAGATTATTTTACAAATTGATCCCTCGTCATTCAATTTTCCCGAGCAAGTGCTTCCTGGCACTCAGTCCAGAGTGGCATGAAGAAGCTCGGAGACGCTCCTTCATCTCGGTTCTGGAGTGTCGGGTCTGCCACCAAAATACAATGCATGATGGCTGTCACGATCGGACCCTGTAGCACAATGGCAGGGGACTCTCGATTCATCAATGCTACTCCCATCGACAGACACTCGCGCGCTCGCACTTCGTCGCCCAACTCGGCATGCAATTTGAATAGCTGCACGTAATCCTCTTGTGTACGGTTGGCACCTTTCAAGGGAAACTGGCGCCACAAGCGCCAGAAACCGTCGTGGTCCCCACATTGAAATAGTGTCACCATAAGCTGACGCGCTTCTACTGCGTCGAATGGAACGTTGGCAGCCGCGAGTATCTTCGACAACCGAGACAAGATTTGTTTCTGAGACTCCGTCTGTTGAACCACAGTCGAACTTGAGGAACTCTCTTCGGGGTGCAATTCATTCGGGCTCGAAGGTGCTGGATTTGGTGAACAGACCGCTTGGTAGAGTATATTGAAAACCTTCATGTTCAAAATCGGCACACCACGGAGGCTCAAGCGATCCAGCACTAACAAAGCAAGCTCCATGCCAGTGTCTTCTGAATGAGTCTCAGACTGTTCGGTGATAACACCCGCTGTTCTCGGCGTTAGAAGCGCAGAAACAACATCGAATCCAAGGTCATCCGGAAGGTCATACCCGTCGCGTAGAAAATCAGAGAAGGTGCTAAAAAGGGCATCCTTGGTGTAAGCTGGGTGTTGCCGAGACACAGCAATAGAAAACAATTTCAATCGAAAGGTGGCTTTTTCCTGTGCAGAAAACCGCGCGGCGTGGTTCGTATGGAAGAGCCGTAGAAAAAGAGTGGACTTGCGGTCATTTGGGCCGCTTCCAAGCTCATTTCGTGCATTATCAGCTGGAAGTTCAGCGAGAATCTGAAGTAAAGATGTCGGTGTCAATTGGGACGCAATTGCTGCCGCGCCGCCTGGAAGTGTGGAAGACGAAGTTCCCATGCCAGGGAAACCAGCTTCCAAACCAGACTCAGTGGAGTTCATGGCAGATAGTGCGAGTCTGCGCACGGTATGAAAGCCTCTCCTTTGGCCAGGAATTGAACCAAATCCATCGGACATAGACCTGGGGGGGCGCTGCACCAGTTTTAGATATATCCCCTGTGCTCTCCCGGATGTTCTTGCGCCCTTCACGGGCCAAAGTAGCTTCCCAGAGGCCATCAAGGTCAACATCAGCCCGCTTCTCCTCGGTGAAGATCTGGACAACCACACTAGTCCCAAGGTCAAGACTACCAAATCCCTCAATTCCAACATCGCTCAATTGGGTTGTAGTAGCGCCTTTATCCACCATACCCGCATTTACACAAATCCATCCTGTGGTGATACCATCATCCTTTTCGTCGACCATTGCGCCTGCTGCACTGGCGGCGCGCGCTCGCTTGGCCTTGCGACGGAGTTTGATCTTCAACTCGTTGCGTCCAAGTAAGCCGTCGGCATAGGGGGACAACTTGTATTGACTTCTCAGCCAGCGACAGAGACGATCTGCAGACACGTTCAAATGCTTCACACTGCGAGCAGTTCCAATAATCATGATGACATTAGCACCGAGAGCTGCAGGGATTTCGAGGCCGCGTAGGTCAAAAAGCTTGAGACCATCCAAGCCCAAGTCCTTATACGTGTACTCCAGTAGAGTCGAGAGCATCTCTGGGGAATCGTCTGGGATCTGGGGAAGATGGGCTTCGGTCAATGGGCGCTCCTTAATGATTGGCGCCTCTTCCTGCAGATACCAAGGGACATGCTGTGATGAGGCTGGTGTATTGGCTTCCGAGGGTGCCGATGACTCTTCTGATTCCGACAGACGAATGTCAAGCTGGTTCGAAGTTGGAGGGCGATCAGACCGCAGCCAAGTTGCAGCGGAGAAAGCTCTAGCGTTGGAGATCGAACGGGAGGAAAGAGGCGAGGATCGTGGCATTGGAATGCCGGAGACAGAAACAAAGGACCGTAGCACCTCATGCCGACAGGTCTGGCACGCAGCCCCTCGCAAAAGAGCCCTGCTCATAGTGATGGTTATACTGGAAAAAGAAATGAGGATCTTGAGTTCTTCCAGCAGTTCGAGTCCCAAGGTTGATTTGCCGGTGATATCAAGATAACGGGTGCAAACACTACAAACAGCTGAGTCATCAGAAAAAGATCCATCCAGGTGGGGGGCAAATATCACAAATCCACGGCGCTGTAAACTCTTTGAGTCTTCGATACCCTGGTGATTTTTTCATTCTTGGGTTCTTATTCCCGATTCTACTCATCAAAATGTCGATGGATCTGGATTCCCCCGTCTATTTCACGCAGCAGGAGAAAGTCGCAGCCACGTGAGTTCTTATCGCAACTTTTTTCCCTACATATTCCAACCCCGCTGGGCCAATCTTTCAAACTCTTTATACTTCAACTCTCGGTACTAACTACTTTGCTTTATCAGAATTCTCTGCTGCAACTGTGGCGCTGCTATCGATGGAACACTCTCAGCTGGAGCTCTCTGTTCGGATTGTATCCGTCTTACTGTCGATGTTGCCGGAGGTGTATGTGTAACTCCATTTTTGGGCTTTTGGGCTTAGAAGAAGCCTTCCTACATGTCTATGATTTGTCCCCGCTGACATGAACTCTGTTTGTTTATAGGTGCAACGAGAAGCGGTGATTCACTGCTGTAGGGATTGCGAACGGTGGCTACAACCTCCCAACAGCTGGGTTGTCGCAGCTCTCGAGTCGAAGGAACTACTCGCCATTTGCCTACGCAAGCTCCGTGGTCTGAACAAAGTCCGAATCATCGACGCCAGCTTCATTTGGACGGAACCCCATTCGAAGAGATTGAGGGTGAAGATCACCATACAAAGTTAGTCATTCCCACCTGACGAAGGTCACCGCAAGAATTCCGCTTTAGCACATCTAGCCCTGGGATCAAAGCTAACACCCCACAAGCGGAGGCTTTCCAAGGTACTATCGTGCAACAGCAATTTGAGGTTGAATATGTGGTTGCCAATCAGCAGTGTTCTGGGTATGCTCATACCCCCCCCCCCCATACCCAAAAAAAAAAAAAAAAAACTAACTCTACGCTAGCTGCGCCAAATCTTATACGCATCACAGCTGGGAAGCATCAGTGCAGGTCCGACAGAAGGTGCCTCACAAGCGGACATTTTTGTACCTGGAACAGCTTATCCTCAAGCACAACGCCCATAAGGATACCGTCAATATCAAGGAAGTGCACGAGGGCCTTGATTTCTTCTTCGCAAAGAGGAATGAAGCCGAACGGATGCTTTCATTCTTAGAAAAAGGTAGTGTTCTCTCTCCCCTTTGCTAATACGTGCAAGTCCACTGACAGAATCTCAGTGATACCGATTAGAACTAAAAAATCGCACGAACTCATCTCCATGGACATACACACGTCGTCGGCAAATTACAAATTTAACTTCAGGTAATTTAACCACTTTTGGGCAGAAAATGGTTGCTAACATTACTACTAGTGTCGAGATCATCCCTATCTGCAAGGATGATTTGGTTGCTCTGCCGATTAAGCTGGCCCGCTCATTGTCTGACATAAGCCCGCTCGCCATTTGTAACCGGGTAGGCACGTCTATCAATCTTATGGACCCTTGCACCCTCCGGACAACCGATCTTCCTACTACCACTTACTGGCGCCAGCCATTCCCGAATCTTGCGGACACCACCGAGCTTAGGGAATTCATTGTCTTGGACATTGAATCTACTGGCCACTCTAATGGACGGTACCTCCTATCCGAGGCTACAGTTGCTCGTGCTTCGGATCTAGGATCTAACGATACCACCTACTTCACACGGACTCACCTCGGTGGTGTTCTCCACGTGGGTGACTCTGTTCTCGGATACCACTTGTCTGGAACCCAGTTCAACAATGATCAACTCGAGGCAATTGAGAATAGCCACCAGTACAGCTCAACGATTCCAGATGTGGTCCTTATCAAGAAGCACTACGTCCGCAGCAAGAAGTCTAAGGCCCGCAGCTGGCGTTTGAAGCGTATGGCCCGCGAGCACGAAGAGGAGGCGACTGCTGCTGTAGTCAATGTCCCCACAACCAAGCGCCAAGAGCAGGAGCAGGCTAGGATGGAACAAGATTACGAACTGTTCTTGCGTGACGTTGAAGAGGATCAGGAGCTGCGTCAAACTCTTGATCTGTACAAGAATCGTCAGTATCAGGTCAGGGCCGACCAGATGGATGAGGATGGCGATGATGACATGAGCGACGAGGAGGGACACGCCGTGCCGAAAATCAACATGGATGAGCTGCTTGATGACTTTGATGAATTGAACATGGAGGACAATTAGGAGAAGTCAGTCAGAGTCTGAATGTTATCATTGATGATCATGGCACCGGTTGGCGTTTGTGTTTCTGGGTTTTCAATCAAAAAGTTCATGATTTCCAAATTGATACGTGCAATGTACAGCATGCAGATGCTCAATTCTTATTCTAGATCATATTATAGGGCCGAATGGATCAATTGCTTCAGATGATAATGAATTAAAGTTAGAGCACAAAGCTAGTTAAGGTTGTAAAGGTGAGTTGAGAGGTGTTGTAGATGTAGTTGAACGTAAGTTTCTAGGGTTAAATTGGTCCACGGGTGAGGTTAACAAGAACCACAAGATTTGACAGCATAGAATCGGGTGCGCCACGAAACAAACTTCCAAGCAACAGCAATAGTAAACAACCTCAGGGAGAAAAGAGCTATACAGGGCGGAATTAAGACTGTTATTAATATCAAATTGAAGGATAACCCTAGTCCATCTTCAGTTAGATGTCTACATTGTGGATACTTGATACTACTATACATTGATGTATTGATACTATAGTAGCTGCCATTCTCATATGAGTACCCAAAGAGAATGCCGAAGTTTGACCAGATGTACTCAATCAAACTCGGGATATTACATCTCGGTGATCTAATATTAGAAAGCCGGGCTGTAGTAGATCAAGTAAACAGACCAGAGGCCATAAAAGCCTTATTGAATAAAAACAAGAAGAAACATTCCCCATAAAATCCTAGCTTAGAAGATCTTCCCAAGTACCCGCTTGGCATCATCAGCCATAGCACCATCCTTCGACCCCTTAACAACCTCATTCTGCTGGAAATGGAACCGCCTTCTCGTAGACTTCGCCTCCTTAGGCTGCGGCAGTTCCTTATCCCCTTCACCAGCTGCCTCCAACCGCCTCTTCATCTTCTCCTCATTCTTCTTCGCCATACCATCAGCAATGCGACCACTCTCAACACCCGCAATGAACATCTTAGCTTCCTTAGCTTCACGAGCATCGGCAATCTTCCTCTTGCTTTCCCTCTCAGATCTCTCCCGTTGTACAGATTGCATGAGATCCTCCCAGGAGTACCGTGAGAGATATTTGATGTTCCACACGTCATCGTGATACCCTATAGATCGTAGCACTAGTCAGTACGTATTCATCGCAAAATAACGGGACGTATATAATGGTGAAAATGCCGGTAGACTCACAGCTAGACTTCAATCCACCAACAATAGTCGCATTCAATGTCTCTGCGCAGATCTTCGCTGTCTTTTTGGACTCGAACTCGATCCACCCTTCCGTGTAGAGCTTTCTCTTATTCGAACGGCTGCGATGACCGGCTGCTGATGGGAGAAGAGGAGCCAAGAAAATCTTCGTGATACCTCCGAACCCTCTCTTCTCTAGCATTGCCTTCAAGGCGAAGGGCTTGAGGTATGGCGGAAGAGAAGAGAAGTATATGACACCTGAGCGGGTTTTCTTGGGTGCCTTGCCGTTGGCTAGTTTAGATAACTTAGCAAGCTTGCCCTTTGCTTTGAGCGACTTTGCTGATTTGGTGCTGGGTTTTGTTGAGTCTTCTAGACTTGCGCCGCCGTCTTCGTCCTCGTTATCTTCGTCTTCTTTTTCAGAGGCTTTGTCCTCCTCGTCCTCATCTTCGTCAGACTCCGGGGAGAAATCTGGCTTGGTTGTTGTCCGTCGCCGCTTCACGGCCCGTCCTTTGCTCTCCGCCGCATTGGCTTCGGAGTCGTAACCGCGGTCGCTTCCGCTGGCCTCATCGTCACTGGCCGCGATGTCTAGGAAATCGTTGTGCTTGCGAGTCGTCATTTTGTGGAGTGCGAGTAGTGTTGATTGACTTGATCGTGGGTGGCGGAGGTCTGCAACTTTTTTTATGCGGGTGGTCTGTGCCCCCGGAGGCAATCCGTTCCAATTAGATCTATGAATCAGCCACACACACACAAGCCACACCTCAAAGTCGAGAGTTATTTATGAGATAGTCCACCTTATAGAATGAGTTTTAAATGACAGGTGAAAGATGGAAGAAAATGTTTGAAATTTTGTACTGGTGTATCTCTGAGCCGTTCAAGCTCTGTATGCTAAAAACAACCCTCCCAAGGTATCCACAAACGCCACAGAGAACCAGTATCAAGAGTCCTCATGGTATATGCAAGAAAAGAAATGAATATGTCACAAGTCTAACTAATGCCTAGCGATGTCTTGGCTCGCTCATAAACGTAGAAGCTCACTGCAACCATAGGAACGACCTTGACGTATCCAATAGTCAGTCCAACCCAGAAGCCTCTGAACCCTCTCTCAAGCCAGATTGTGCGGGCCGTTTCGGCGATTCCGAGTCGTCGTCCGTCACCGACTGCACCACCGACCTGCATCCGCCGACGGAGGACCTCAACTGGGTATGACGAAGTCTGCGAAACTAGACCGGCCAGGGCACCGGACAGAAGCTCGGACGTGGTATTGAGCTGCGGTCGTTTGGGGCGATCTGCGGGGTTTTCTGGCTCTGTTGTTCGTCTGAGGGTGTAGCGTGCCACGCTTGGGTGACGGAACAAGTCTCCCACTGTGTCGTGAGTGAGGAAAGACATTCCAGCGTAGGGAAGCATGCCGAGGATGGTCGGAGAGAAGCCACGGTAGAAATTGGTAATTCCGGTGCGTGGGACAACTTTCGAAACGGCAGATGAAGCACTTTCGGCCACAGCAACGGAAGAAGACCCGGCTGCCGCAGCAGAATGGGTGGATGGGGGTTGAACACGCTCGTGGTAGATTTGCCGCCAGATATCCACCAAGCCTGAGCGGTGCGATTGGCGGGTTTCAAACGCCATTCGGACGCGCATCAGCTCTAATGGGTATGTGAAACACACAGAGGTAACACCGGCTAAGCTACCGGAGACTAAGCGGCGGAACGGGGTCTCGTATTCGCTGGAAGGAATGATAACTGCGCGGATCTGCTCGTATGCAAGGAACTTTATGGCGGCGTATGGAAAAATTCGAAGGAGGGTCACTGAATGGCCTTTGTACAGGCCCTGGAAACCTTCCGTGCGCTTGATATCTCGAATCGCTGCTGCCAGGCCAGTCCAGCTGCCTGTGTATTTGGCGAATTGAGGATTTGATGCCTGGAAGAGGATCTTCACGCGGTCGAGAGGTGCTACCACGGTCTTGGCCTATAACGTCCAGCGCATTAATCAGTATGTATCTCGCAAAGGCCTCTAACCCATGGAGACTTACCGCACACCCCGCCAGCCCTCCGGCAATTCCACTCCGCATCACATAATCCCAGCTACGCTTATTGATCTTGTTGTCGCCGCTCTGTGATTTGCCCATGGCGGCGGTGTTATTTGACACAATTGGTTTCGTAGCGGCGCCGAGAGGCGGCGATCCCGGCTGTGCGGTCTCGCTCATCGGAGCGGACTGTGGAGTAAAGTCTGGGGATTTGTTGGGGTCATATGCATGACCAGTCGACATGGAATAGGAAGAGGAAAAGAAAGACGGGATTGCGAGAGAGCAACCGAGGCTCGCAGGAGGGGTGAAAATGTCCGGGGAGTCGCCCTCGTGATCAGTTTCGGCGATATTCAGCCAGATTTCTCGGGGTACCGGACGATCCTCGGGACGCTTCAGCTGTGCATGCAGATATCTAATAGTTGTATTGACAGCTCAGCGATCTTAAGGACGTTTGAAAGAATAATATGACAGTGCAACGGCGAAAAGTGAAAGAAAAGTAACGTCCTGTGTATGTTTCCACTGACGTATTTGCGACATCTGGGAGTTCGGACGATTGTCGTTACAAACATTCTGACATGCCGATACCAACGGCTCTCCGCGAATAACCGGCGGATTACGGTACTAATACGGCCCGCAGAATCAGCGAGTCCCGAGAAGCCGGTTTGTCATCGTACTCCTAACACTAGGCCTAATCGGGACTTGTAGTCGATATGCATTCTGTAGCCCTTCGTCTTAGCCTACCTTGTAGTCTGAATGTATTTTATTAAGGATACTTGTTCTATGTGACTTATTCTATGTTTTTGCATTGCTTCTAAGCTATTTAACTTCTTCCCAAAAAAAATATGCCACTGAAAAGACATGAACTCCCCGTCTCCATGCAGCTCGAAATGTATACGAAGTACAAAGAATATCGTGGTCGCGTGATATTGTAGGATTAATGCCTTCTGGGGGTATCAACCCTTGCGCTGGGCGCGCGTTCGGGTCAAAGGCTTATCCTGCTTAGCCTGCTTAGCCTGTTTGGCTACCTTGGTCACTCTGGTGTCATCCGAAACCCGCTTGCGCTTGGCTGGCCGGCCAGGGTCAACATGAAGATGCCCATGCTCGGATAACGCGGTCGTGTTTTTCCAGCGCAGGCAGCGGGGGCCACTCTCGTTCACATCCAGATAGGTCTTAGTCCGGGTGGTCACGCGTTTGGCTGGGATGTCCTCCGACTCGGCTCTATCAGGCGTCTCGGCTAGGTACGCCTTGCGATTCTTCATGTACTTGGCAATGTACTCTTGCTGGAGAAGCAGCTCCTTAAGCAACTTGGACTCCCGGTTGCCGCGCGAGTCCAGCCAATCCACAAGCTGCTCAATTGCCTCGGGGTCCTCGTAGTAGCCCCATTCACGAGCATTCGATACATGGGTTGGCCCTTCTTCGTGCTTCTTGCGCTCTGCAGGGGTGGTTTGGAAATGTTTCTGGTACTGCTTCCGCTGTTCATCGGTCACGTCGATGAAGCCAGCGTGCTCCATTTCATCCGGGCCTTGCACCCACAGACGGCCATTGGCGTAGTGTGCCTCGGCCGTTGAGCTTTCTGGCATACCCTCGTAGGGCATCGCATTACGCTCAAACCACCAGTAGCGATTGCAGAAGCGATCCAGTCCAAGGCATCGGGTCCTGGGGCAGTCGGTTTCGCGAAGGCTGTTCTCCACAGTCTCGATTTGCTCCTGGAGCTTCTCTATATTGGCCTTCTGCTCGTCGATCTTCTTCAAGACTCGCTGATATTGCTTGGACCCCTTAGGCTGCTTCGCCAGTATTTCCTTTCGCTCCTTTTCCAATTCTTGCTTCCGTTTACGCTCGAGGGCCCGATCAATTCCTCCACGTAACGAGCGTGGTCGAGGGATATCCTCGTCTTCGGTATCCCCGACCATTTCAGAGTCTCCTTCCAGCAATCGAGAATCATCCAAGCCATCCAGCTCGGGCACTGGCGTAGGTGACTTCCCGGCCTTTTCAGGTTCAGGCTGAACGGCCTTGCGCTCCTGATGCAGCTGACGAAGCTCGATGAGTCTGAAAGACGATGTTAGTAGTTGAAGTGACAATGATTAAAGGATTACCTTACCCTGCTTTGCGCGCCTTCTGATACTCAATCTTCTCCTTGCGCAACTCTGTCATCTGATTGCTGCACTCTTCTAGATAGTTTCGGATGGCCTTTGTTTCCAAACTCAACATGCAAATCATCTGGAGCACCTTGGTACGCAAATTGATGTCGAGTGTTTGATACTGCTCCTGTACGGTGTACTGCGTAGGTTCCTGATCGAGAGGTGCCAGATGCTTGAGAATGGTGTTGCAGATTTGCTCCGAGCGAGGACGGATAGATAGCTGGTGCAAAAGTCCAACTATCACCAACTGCCATCCACCGTTGCGGAAATCGCGTTTGCGGAGACGATCAATCCACCCATACTTCTCAAACATCTCGCCAGCCCGATGAATCTGTGTCTCCTCGGGTTCATCTTCATTAATCTGTGCTTTGATGATGACTGCTTCTTCCTTGGCCAAGCTTCCTCTGGTGGTCATTCTCCCAGGCTTCGCCTGGGGCTCTGGAGACTCTTCCTCGGCTTCTTCTTCTTCTTCCTCGCCCTCTTCTTCGGATTCATCAGAATCATCAGCAGGGAAGTCTGGGAGTGAGATCTGAACAGCACCATCATCGTTCGATGAGTTGACGAGTTTTTTGAGAACGGCGCAATGCACTTCAACGAAAAGCTCGCAGTCCACTTCATCTGATGAGAACCGCATAGCTTGCACAAAATCGTCAAAGGTGAAGGAATCCAGTTCGAATACTTCACAGTAGACATTTAGGGTGTCCCAAGTCTCCAGGAGCAACCCCACCGTTTCCGGCTCTAGATCATCAGGCAGAAGGTTCTCTGCGCCGTCATCTTCAGACTCGCCTACCATCATAAACTTGAGGGTCGGTCGGTGTTGCTTTTCGGAATTAGGAGCAAGGTCCAGATCTTCGATAGGATACTTGACCGGTGGCGGGGATGGTGCTCTCGGCTCGTTCTTGATGACCACTGCCGGGAGTCCAGCAAGCTTCCTATCGCCAACCAGTGGCGGTTTGGAAGGGCGCAAGGGGTTGGAAGGCAGGAGGAATGATGGGTTACCATTCAGTGACCGCTGATACTCTTGGTACTGCGCCTCCCTCGATTTTGCCATCTCCTGTGCAGACAGTTTCGACTTCTGTCCCTTCACCGCAGGTTTCAGCTCGGGAAGCTGCTGAGAAGAAAAGAAACCAAAGAAGCCATCTTGGTCCGCTTTCTTCATCGCTTTCTTCTCTGCCACCTTCGCGCCATACTGAAGATGCTTAGGTACCTCAATCGGGATCTTGTATGTCTCTGCGACAGATGGCTTGACCAACCAGGGCGCGCCTGTCCACGATTCTCTGGTGACGTTGTTTTTGATGAATCCACGTAGCATCAATTTAGTGAATGCCTTTCGGTCGCGCGTGATGTGGTCCTGGTCCAGCAGGGCCTCTTCATTTTGTCGATCTAGGATCTTGACCAGATACCTAGCAAAAGCAGGTGTTTTAATGGTGCCATCGGCATATAGCTGTTCTGCAAAGTTTGCCTTGTCTCTGATGGTACCATGAAGCCGACTGCTATCATCAAGCAAAATGAGAACAGCTTCGCCTGGGTAGAAGTCTGATTTGAATTCCTAGATTTGTTAGATCAGTTGTTGATAAATGATGGGATTATCTCACTTCATATATTTCATCCACTGGGAAATAGGTTCGTTAGCTTGATTCACACTATAAGAGAGGGTAATAGCATACCCAGGCTGTCCACCCTCGAAACTATCGAGAACTGAATTCTGCGCAGAATAGGCTCTCTCAGCGCATCGGGGAAACTGTTGTTGACTTCGCGCGATTCCTCCGTCTAGTCAGGGCTTAGCATATGTCCATCACTCGGTGTTCATATTATAATATATACCTCACTGCGGAGCGCCTCGAAAAATGTCAAACCTGAATGGCCGGTAATCTCACAGATGAATCGGCGTTGTTTGTAGAAGTCCATTCGCTGAAGGTAAGGCTCGTAGCTGGTGAAGACCTCATTGGTCTCCGGGATAACCCAGACCTGAAAAGAGGAAAGAGGGTCAGCAGGAAGGTGTACAGTATGGGTAATAGAGGTACATACCTCGGAACTATCATCTTCAATGACAGTTTGCGGGAGGTATTGGACTGGTTTGCGTTTGAATAACACCTATATATGCAATTGTGTAAGCCTCTTTGTCTCCATACCATCCACCATTTCTTCTTGGCACCTCCGCAGCCATTCCATCGGATAAGGTGTTGCATACCATGATGCTTTAAATATTAAGTGTGGACGCGCCAGTCGGCCGGGAGCTACCGTGTACAGGATCGATAATCGAGCATGAACGGGACTAAACAAAACGCGATCTTTGTTAGCGAGTGAAGCTTGTCGATTGAGTGGGGGAAGGTAGAGGCCGCGTCAGACAACGCAATCGGCGGAGGTAACGGGAGTTGCGATATAGATTGAAGATGCTCCAGTTGCTCTGGTGCACCGTTTTGTGAGGAATGGGCGGTTGTGGGTGGGAGTGAATTGTCGTGATCAGGCCTGGTCGCAGACGAAGAACACGCGAACAGTGGAATAGCGATGCCTCGGGATTTCATGCGGACTTACCGGAGTAGAACGCGTCCTGTAATGAAGTTGAGAACCAGGCGATTCTGAGATGATGAACTATAATATGAGGGTTGGGGGGTTGGAAGGAAGCTGTGAATATTTGAAGGTGTAAGAAGCAAGAAAGAAGAAAGGTAGACAAAAAGGACGGAGCGGTAGATCATTGCAGGACCGCGAATCAGCGGTGGAAGCTGATTGGTGGAGAGGAGGAGCAAGCGGGAGCCAAAAGCCCAGCAGAAAAACGCACCTGGGCTTTCCTCGGGACCCTCGACTCTCCCTCCTCCCCCCTCGTCATCTCCGACTATAAATTCTTTCCTCCTTTCTTTCCCAACACTATCCGTATTTACCCTCATTCGACTCGTCTGATCGAGGAGATTTTATCTATATTATATTCATATCAATTTTCAATCATACCTCTATTCTTCAACGCGGTTATCAATTCTCAGTTTCTATTCTTGGTCACCTCCCCGGGCTAAGATCGGAACAATCAATTCGAACTACCGGGGCCATGTCAACCACCAGCTTTGTTTGTATTTTTAGCATGAAACACCAACCTTTCAACAACATTCTCTTTGGCTTTAAATGCTCAGGTGTTATTTGTTCTTCACACTACAGTCATCTGTCTAGGTAATCATATTTCATACTTGAAATATGACGAGACCTATTTTGAGAATAACTATTCCACTAAAGGTGCAAGTCGTGATTATCAAAAAGCTTTGTATGCACATTCTATCTCCTATACCAATTTGTAACTATATATCACCGTTATAGCTCTAAAGCAAGCAGGGCATGTAGAGTTGATACACCTTCAGCCACGGTGTCACAGCGCATTGGCCACCCAGATTTCCATTGTTGGATAAGGGGTACTCTACATCTACTTTTGCTAAGGTTGATGAGCATGTCCTTTATGTGTCATGATACCCTTTTGTTGTGATTGTTTGGTTATCGTGCAGCTAGACGTGAATAACAAACATGCTATGTGTGATGTGTGAAGTCACCACTCATATCTTTTACTTTATTACTTTTAGACTAGGTTGCTTGTGGTTCTGCTCGTATATTACATTCAAATAACTTATCAACCATCAATAATTGGAAGCACCTGCATAAAATATATAAGCGGAAGAGAATTTGCATCACTTGCAGAAATATATATATGCCGCGAACATAAAAATTTATGGCGAGACAATTACCCAGGCTAACATTTAAAGCAAAGAAATAAGAAAGCACCTTCATGCTTACACTGACATTTCCAATACAGTCCTAGAATAGAAGAATAGAAAACAGATTCTTCCCCCATGTTTCTATCTGACCTGCATTTGGCTGCAGGCCAACCATGGATGAAGTGGAGCTAACCAAATTGAGACTAGTGGGAGAATAGACTCCATGATCCGTGGGTCTTATCCACGTGGAAGCAAACAATGCAAACATTATACACCTACATCGTGAATCCTTCAGTCACCTCACAGACCTCAAGAAGTTTATAGTTCATCCTTGGTAGCAAAAACAAAAGAATGTTTTAATCCGAGCTAGTTCGATAGGTCTAAGCTGTAAAATAAACCACCATAAACCCAGCCCAGCTTCCGACAACTCCAAGGGCACAATAACTGCTCATGAACATCAATGGTAGGAACTCGAGCCGGTCCCACCCGAAGATCAACTGGTGCCCCAGGGAACAGTAGATAATCAAAGGAATAGAAATGGTCAAATAAAGCAGCGAAAGTCGGTCGAATATGAAAATTCGGGGCCGCTCGGGGACAGGTGCTACTCGGTCGAAGACGAAGAGGAATAGCACCAACCACAGGACTGTATAAATAGTCTTGAGGGGGAATTCGGCAGCTGTAAACAATAGCGGGAAGAGTGAGACATGGCCCGCAACTGCCAGAGGTCGGAAGGCGCTGAAGTAGCGACGGTCCTTGAGGGCGATGAGACTGAATGGAATGATAATGAGGAGAATGGCTTTCTCATGTACATGCCAACCAAAGAGGAATGATGCATAGCCGCAGAGGGTGATCGCACCGACAAAGGTATCCCAACAGCCTGGGTTGAACCACACCTTAACGAGAGGAATCTAGATAATTGTTAGAAAGGCCAGAGGCACAGGACGAGGGACGCATACCAGTTGGAACAAGAATGTCAATATAAAGGTGTGCTCCTTTGTAACCTCCGGTAGGACAGCGAAAGAGGTGTCTCCCACCAGTCCTCGTGTGACGCTGTTTAGAGCATCAGTGTTCACTGGAAGTCCTAGCCGTGGTGCAACTGCGGGGGTTTTCAGATAAGCTCATATGCGAAGAGGTAGAGGCTACTTACGGGAAATCAATGCTCGATCAGCGAAGGAGTACATAGCCCAGATATTTGGCGCCCAGTACGCGTGACACAGCCCTCTCGAAAACGGAAACAGCCTGTCCTTGAGCTGCAGCAATTGTCCCCATTGCGCAAATGGCCCAAAGGCAATTGCAAAAACGCCCACCACGCAGAATCCTAGTTTGAAAATATTGCCGAACCGGGGCCGGAAAACCGATTTGAGACTAAGGCAATAGGTGCGCAGCAGATAGACGAAGTAGGCGAGAGCGAGGTAGAGGTATATGTGCTTCATGCATAGCAGTACCGCGAAGAGGATGCCGCTGTAGAGAAGAGTCGATTGTTTGCGAGCGAGGACAATTGATAGGATCAGGATTCCATACATGAAGCCATTGTATTGGAAATGGATGTGATCGATGATGAGGAGACCGGGGGATAGTAGGATGGAAAGACTGGCTACATGCGCTGCCTGCTTGTTCGGAAAAGGAACGGACTTGACAAATCTATCGAATAGTTGTTAGAATTCCACTGCATCACATCACCAAAAAAAGATCGAGTGCCATACCGACTAAGCGCATAGACAAGAACCAGCTCCGTCAAGATCACAGTTGCTCTTTGGAAGTAGACAGTCTGCCAGGAATCATAGCCAAGGTTCTTTACGACTAACATCGCAGGGTCTGCGTATGCAGCAGCCTGCGACATCAGCCACTCGAAGGCTGCAAAGAAGGGTGGGTAATCGAGTGTCCATTCCGAAGTTTTCTAAACCAGCCCAAGTCAATATCCGGAACAATTACTTAAGAAGCACGCGCCCGACCGAACATACCTCATAGTACCACTCTTGGATGGGGAGAGAATGGGTGATGGCGAGCCAATTGCGGTGGACCTCAAAATCGGTAGATTTGCTGTAACACAAAGAAAAGTATGTTAGCAAAAGTCATTTGGTAACCCCGATGTCCTGTTCCCGGGTTCTTTGGAATTCCTTTTGCGGTTTTTGCAGCAGTTTTGCAGTGCTTGATGTCTTCCCGATCTTTTTTGCAGCAGCGAAACGAGCGGGACTTACTATGCGGGGAAGAGCAGCACCTTGAAGGCAGTTGCAACGATGGCGCACTGCGCCAATGAGGGGTATAGGTCAGCCATTGGAGCTCCTGCGCATGATGGTGCAGCGATGTTGAAAGCTGAGAAGACACAAGGCGCGAGAATGTGCAAATCGGCGGAGCGAGTAGCTTCCTCCGCATGTTATTTTAAAGGACACGTGACTAGATGCGGAGATCGGAGGTCAAATCAGGAGCGAAACACCTGGACAGAAGGACAGATAGTCAATACAACACATACAACGTCAAAAGGGAACACTTTCTCCGTATGGACTTCACAGACGTCGGAATCCGCCACACGATTCTCAACAGTGTACAGCTCCATCACTTTATCGATTTCTCACCATCGGCCGCTATTATTGCAAAAGAGGCCCGTCTCTGTGTTATTGCTATTGTTGTCGGTTGGGTCACCACTAGTATTGTCTCTAGCATTTGCAATCGGAATTGTGAACGTGACTCAATCCATAGCAAACGCTGATAGCTGCTGCGCAAAACCTTTGTGAAACTTTCGCGAATTCCACATCAACATCAAGCTACACCAAACGCCAAGCCACACAACATGATGAAAACATTAGCTTCACTGGCATTGCTTGCTGTAGGGGCTACAGCCCAGCTTATTGATAGCTCAAGCTTCGGTGCTGGTCAAACGTCAGTACAGTATCAATGTACAGTCTTTGGGTTATGGCTATCTGACTTCAGACCAGGATATCACCAAACCGAGACTCTATCCCCGGATGGACAATTGGAGCAGAAGGCCATGTACCGCAAGTTGTGAGTCGGTCTGTCAGAATTATGGCCGGACTGAGCTAACAGCCATTTAGCTATCAGACAAGCTCATCTTAACACCCCCGTACCCTGGAAACACACGGGGATCAGCTTGGGCACAAAGTCCGTAAGTGAAGGGCTTCAAACCTTGATACTGGACCTCGGATAATAACATGAGTATAGAGTCTCTCAGTCGGAATGGTCAGCAGAGTTCCAATTCCGAGCAAGCGGACCTGAACGAGCGGGTGGAATCCTGCAGTTATGGTATACCAAGGACGGCCAGTCCCGTATTGGTACCTCGAGCATCTATACTGTCGGCCAGTTCGACGGCTTTGCTCTGGTAATCGATACGCATGGTGGAAGAGTGCGTATTGACCCTGTCTTGTATTGTTGTGGCGTATTGATAATTACTGTTACTAACCTCTTCCATAGGGTGGAAGTGTCCGTGGATTCCTGAATGACGGTACCATCGATTACAAAAGCCACAACAGCCCGGACACCTTAGCCTTTGGCCACTGTGACTACTCCTACCGTAACTTGGGCCGTCCATCAATTGTCAAGCTCAAGCACACCAGCTCCATCTTTGAGGTCACCATTGACGACAAGGTTTGCTTTTCAACCAACAAGGTATGTATACACTATATCCTGCCGACATCGTACCGCAGCCATCTAAAACATACTAACCTGAACAGGTCGCTCTGCCCGCTGGAAACACCTTCGGCATCACAGCAGCCACTCCCGAAAATCCAGACTCATTCGAGGTCTTCAAGTTCATCCTTGAGTCCGCCACAGGTCAAGGCCCGACAATCCCCTCGAACCAAGGGAGCACCCCCCAGCAGCCAATTCGCAATCAAGTTCCTGACCAGCCCGCTCAACCCATAACCAACCGCGGCACAGAAGCCACAATGAACGGTTTGGCTGCCCAGATCGTCGACGTCAGCGCTCGCATCCAGCTGGCCGGAAAGGCCACCAACACCATCCTTCAGGAACTGAAGAACCAGGCACAAAAGGCAGACGAGCGCCACGCAGAGCTTATCCAGAAGTCCCTGGCCCAAGACCGCCAGCTCGCCCAGTTCGACAGCCGACTTTCGCGCGTTGAGCAGCTGCTCCAAGCCCTCCAGACCGATTTGCAGAGCAAGGATTACAGTGGACGGTTCAACCAGCTCCACGAGACGCTGCGATCCTCCCACCTCAGCCTAAGCGAGAACCTGCAGGGTCACCTGCTTAGTGGTAAGTCCCCTTGCTTTGTCCATATGACCTATCTATTTCAATTTGCTAATTGCTTTTCTCCCATCTTATAGTCATTACCGCCTCTAGCCCACGTATGGGCTTCTTCATCTTCTTGTTGATTGCGTTCCAGGTGGTCCTCGTGATCTCCTACGTCATCTACAAGCGTCGCCGGGCCAACATGCCCAAGAAGTTCCTTTAAGCGTCCCCGTTCTGTCCCTCTCTCCCTCCCCCTGTCTTCCTGAATCTGTGTCGCTGTCGTCTTGAGTTATTGTGTGATGGGGGCTGGGGGGTTATATTCATAATGTTCACCAGTGTACTCTGCCCGGAGTTGAGCCACCGGGATCTATTCTTCCAGCGAAAGTTATGTAGAATACGAATATGTTATTACGTTGATGAAACCTCTCTGAGAGTAATTAGATTTACAAGTAAGAAAAAAGTGAAATGAGAAATATTCATTTGGCCTTTGGCCCATGCTATCGTACACATTCTCCGGGCCACCCAACCACGCGCATTTTTTTTGAAAAACAAAAAAAAGCAAGGCAAGATAAAACAACATTGAAAGAAAAACAAAGGCGTGGCCGGGCAGCCCGGAGAAACAGATTCAAGAAAATTTGACGATCGCCACCCCGGCGATCGCGAAAATCGAAAAAATTAAAAAACAAAAAAAAAAATCAAATCCACAATTCAAACCGCCGGGGTCCTCTTGTATGGAAGACCCCGGCGGTTTGAATTGAGGGGAGCCTGCCTGGCCAGCAGGCTCCCCTCACTTGGACTTGGTGTATTGGCGCTTCTGCGCCGGTTCTCCCGCGGATCCCTGGTCCTCGGTGCGGGATCGCTTGTTCCGATTGAACACAGGGATCCGCGGGAGAAGTTCGGAGCCCGCGTGGTGGGACTCCTCATCCTCGGCATTGGAGGATGCCTTGGGAGGGGGAGGGGAGTTTGCAGCGTGAGATGAGCCCAAGGTGGACTCCTCATCGATGCGGGACAAGGTCTTCTGATCAACGGGCGAGGTAGGCCCGGCAGCTTCGGCGATGTGACCTTCGCCGACAGCAAGGGGAGGCTGGGTGTTAGCCATGCTAAGGAGGGCAGCGGCAGCGTCAAATTCATGAGTGGAAACAGGAGCGCCGGCAATCATGGTGTTAACAGCGGAAGAAACATTCTGGGTGAACTCGGCGGGAAGACCGTTCTGTGTGATGTTGTTGGTGATCCCGGCGGTTTCAGCACGGTTGAGGTATTCATTGGTGAGTTGCTTGGTCAAATCCAAGCACTTTCGCTCGACAGCTCGGGCATACTCATTTTCACGTTCGTGATGATCATCTTTGACAGCAGTGATAAAGTTCAGAACGACATCGCCTCCGAGGAAACGAGCTCTCTTCTCTCGCCAGTCGTCGTCAAACAGAGTTTGATTTGGGTCGTCAGGAATCATGATGTCACAATCAATGGACGCCATATTTTTGGTTCGGCGAACACGGCGCGTACGCTCGTTGCTGCCATTAATCTCCTTGGTGGCAATCATATCGTCAGGAGTAACATGGTTAGGACACATCCACCCGATCTTGGGGTTAGGGGGATGTGCGCGGGGAGGATCAAGACAATCCAGATGGAAGCGGCAGGGACAGTAGTCGCAAGTAATAATGGGACGTGTACCTTGGGATGTAAAACCACACTTGGAGCAACGGATGCAGTCTCCCTTGTTGTCGTATTCTCGGAGAAGCATGGGATTCGCGTAAACGATAGGAGCGTCCTGCTTGGGTGCTTTAGTCAGCCGCGGCAGGTGGGGCGCCGCCTTGTAGTAGCGTTGATGCTTCAAATTTCGGGCATAGTCGTTATCGAACACAATTCCTTCATCAACTCCCTGGAAATGTTCCTTGATATCCTGAGGAAGTTGGAATTCTGTCTTCTTGTAGTGTTTGGAGTGTGCGATCAAGGTAGAGAAACTGTTGCGAATGGAGCACTTTGGGCAATGCCACTCTCCCTGCGGAGGATTCTTGGGATCCAAGGGAGGATCCAAGCATTCGAAGTGGTATGAATTGATGCATGTGTCGCAGCAGAGTAGATCGCCACCTTTTCCACATTGGTGGCAATCATCGCTGTTGTCGGGAGGTTCACTGTGAGGTGTCATGTTAGCACATAGAACTGGCTAAGCCAGGCCAAGAAATCACATACATAGAGTTCGGCATTTGGCGTGGTTCGTGGTCGCCAGACCAGTCATTAAATCGGACCGAGTAAGCAGAATTTGAGAGTGAAGAAAGACTTGAGACCGTGGTATCAACAGAGAGCGACCGTGCGCGCTGGGGGATCTCAGAGGCCTTAGCCTTGCCTTTCTGGCGTCGTGAGACGGGCTTTCCAGTCTTGCGACCGATAAGCGAAGCAGATGGTGAATAGACAGATGGAGCCTCGGGCTCCGGACCCTTGACAAGAGGTAGATCGAGGATAGAACGAATGGGAGGAAGAGTACTTGGGGGAGGTAGACCTGCGGGAGGGAGGGAACGGGTACGATAGAGCGCTTCATCGATCGCTGCAATATCTCCCTCGATTCCCGTGTCAATGTTGTCCTTGTTGTAGGGGTGTTGAATGGCGTCTGGTGGGCCAATTGGAGTACGAATGTTGCTGTACCGGACTGCGATGTCCACGTAAGATTCTGCTTCAAGACGAGCACGCACGGCTCGCATATTTTCCTCGTGATCAGGGTCCATATCCAACTTGCGCTTACGCTTGTAAGCATTCTCGTTGACCGGGCATGGCTTCTTGGGTCTCTTGAGCGGAGCGGTGTTCGATTTACCGTTCAGGAAGTTTTCCTCAACACGGGGACCACTTGTGTCGCGATAAATATCAGAGATCTTGAAGCTGGGCTCGGCATCAACAGAGTTGGCAGGTGGTAGGCTTGATTCGCTGCGGGGGGGAATATCGGCTGCATTGGATGTAGCGCGAAGGTATTTCTGATACCACTCCTGGGCATCTCTAATAGAATTGCTGAGGACAGATTGGAGCGCAAGTCGCAGTTGGTGATTTGCTGCATCGCATTTGGCGATGTTCGCGACCAAAGAGAGTTGAAATTCATCATCCACAGCATTGGACCAGAAGTAAAGAAGAGCCACGGCACCCGGCTCGTTGCCCTTCTCGGTTGCGTTGATTATGGAATGCTTTATGAGAGCCCGGAGTTTAGGAACATCATATTTGTCGGAAGGTTGCAAAGGAAGAGACATTAGCGCTGTGACGTACTTGTTGGTATCGTCCGCGCTCGGGAGGGTAGGAGTGGCCGCATCGGCCGGGGTGGTAATGGTGCGAATGGGCTCGTCGGCCAGGCTTTGACCTCCGCTGGAGATTGAGGCAAATGCCTCCGCCTCAAAGGCCTCAACATGACTCTTATCGGCTGTCAGTTTCTCAACCCCGCTAAGGGGGGAAAGGCGCTCAGTTTCGTCGCGCGGGATGTTGGTCGGCTCGGTCGCGACGCGGTGGGCCCGTTCAGAAGGAGGAGTCACGCCAGCAGCTCGGTACTCCGCAGTCGATGGGTATTCCCCGAGCTCTCTCATTGTCCGATACTGGGGGGTGGGCTTCGAAGGGCCCGGGGGCTTCTTCTGAAGCTTCCGTCGTTGCGCGGGTTTGGAAGAGCCCTGACGGCGTTCGGACTGAGTGGGCCCCGTAGGGGCAGGCGGAAGGGGCCTGGTAGGATTAGTGCCACGCGCTCCATGCCCTAACTTCTTGGGGTCAACGTACTTGGCAGCAGCTACAGCTGCATCTTGCTTCTCCTTGGAAGCTTTCTCGGCTTCGACTATTTAAAGTCAGTGTTTGTTCTCATCTTGGAAGTGAGTGAAAAAAAGTGTGGGGTAAATCTCCCAGTTTCACCTGAAGGATGCAACCTCTCCTTCTCCCCCATCTCAGAAGTGATCAATGACCAGATCAGTGAGATAGATAGAGAAAGAATCATTCATATGAAAATGAGAAAAAAAAAAGGAATGGTAGGTTCAATGATATAAGTGAGTGAATCTGGGGGGAGGGAGGGGAGTATGTTGTCTCATCCACTCAGGGCTCAGTGAACCAAATGACAGAAGATATCCCGTCTCAGAAGTGACTAGAGCAATGAAAACACAATCCATGACATGAGAGAAATAGCTTGGAAAGGCCAACTCATCTTTGCCTGAGAAATGTGGAAGGCCAAGAGGTAGATGAGGTGTTGCACCTCAGTCACAACGGGATCAGGGACATGGTGGCATGGGGACATGGGACTGGGGACATGAGACTGAGGACATGAGACTGGGGACATGAGACTGGGGACATGAGACTGGGGAAGCATGATACAGAGGAGCATGGCATGGGGTAATCTTCCAGCTTGAACTGGGAGATCGTGATATCCGCGTCACAGATGTGATTGGATACCTGGGAGGGGACTGGAATAGACAGAGGATGGTCACTTACTCTTCTTGTTGAGAAGACGCTTTGAGACGCGACGCACAGCAGCACGTACGGTATCCATTTTTAACACTGAATGTAACGAAATGGATTGAACGTGGGGAAGAAGAGAGAAGAAAAAAAGAAGAAGAAGAAGATGGGGGGAGGGGGAGGGACATAAATACTCTGCGAGACTGGGGGGGCTTTCCCTTTTAGGTCAAGACAGATTTTCTGTAAGAAGGGTGCAAACGGGCATAATAGAATAGACAGTAGTCCAGGTGACATGTCACGTATTGACCTCGACATCCCGTGCTACCAGGTGACTCCTTTGAGGATGCTTACAGAGAACAATAGCTTTTATATTGATCTATTCATCTATTGATCCTTTGAGAATACGAGTCTGCCTATGTATAAAACTTCAATGGCTGCACAGCCTTAGCTCTATTGGACCTGATCTAGCTGTGTAGACAATTCATCAGGCACGCATGCAAGTAGATAGGCTCTGGATCGACCGTAGGTGACGGATATAAATTGGCTATTGTTTGCAGGTCTCACAGGGAAATAGTTGTAGGATGGGATATACTCTCGAGATATCCAGAAAGCCGTGGTTCCATTGTGTGCTTGGGGGATTCAACAGTCAACAAGAATGAGACGGAGGGCCTGATTGTATTGCTGTACCGAGACTCTACATCGATTAGCAAGTTGCGACAGCCTGGTTCTATGTGATTACCAGCCACTAGACAAACACCATCTAGATAGCTCAAGATAGTATCCTAATATTGCATACTCTGAGAGGAGAGCACGAATGACTTGCCTACAGACATTTGAACATCGCCCTTTTATTGAGTAGTCGACGATGAACTGCATATGAATCAATCAAATCTGGGTTTGATCTTTTCCTCGAGCAACAATCTGTCTCGAACAAAATACAGATTGAGATTTGGCACGGATAAGAATATACGAAAGTGATAAAGAACTACAATGGCTACCGTCTCAATAGAACGTCTCCATGTAGATTTACAATACACCTGAGTACAGTCTGGCAACGTCTTGATTTGGTCCGTGGAGTCTGCTCCAATTGCTACATACAAGACAGACAGGCCTCCAGGGAAAAGCACAAGAAGATCTCCCAGCTCCCAGCTTGTCGATAAAGTATATACCGAGGTTTCCAAAAAAATGGGTTGGCATTGCCAGCCCTGTCGCATGTCATGGGGAAAATCAAGTGTTTCTCTTTTGTTTTTGGATAGATTTCGTATGACCTGCAGTGAGGCTCGTCATTGGATATCTGTTTTGCATTCAGATTGGACAAATAGTCCTACACTATATCAAAGTGTATTTTATGAAAATGATGACCAGGGGAAGTTTGTTGAGAGCATTGACTCATATTTACTCTTCACCGCCGGTGGTCTTGGCCTTCTTCTTGCTCTTGTTCTTCTTGTTACCGGTAGAGCGAGCAAGGGGCTGCTCGAGAATCTTGAGGATCTCCTCATCCTCGAGCTTCTTGTCAGACTTGACCTGCTCGAGATCGACGGGCTTGGCAGCAGCGAGCTTGGTGAGACCGTTCTTGGTGATGGCTGTGGGTGGGGTTAGCGTATGGGTCCAAATCATCTCCATGCAAGGTTAAGGTACGTACCAATGGTGGTCAGCAGACGAGAGACGGGGGAACCGTCAGTCTCACCGGCGGGCTCGTACTGGCGCAGGACGCCGCCACGAACGCACTCAACAACACCGACCTTGGCGGCCTTCTCGTCCTCAAGCTGGCGCAAGCTGAAGGGGAAAGTACCGAACTTCTTAACAACCTCAGACAGAGTCTGGCGGGAGCTGGGGCGCTTCAGGCCGTAAGTGGTGGTGGTACGGCGGTGCAGGGTAGCACGGTGGTCGAGGTTCTTGACCTTGCCGGATCCCAGACTGAGGCCAACCTCAACACCCCAAACTTCGCCGACCTCGGGGACACCGTCACCGCGGACACCGTTACCGGGGGAGAGAATGATCTTCTTCTCACCCTCAATCTCGTTGCGGCCGAACATCCAGCTGGTAGTGTTCTCGACGACAGTGCAGTCGTAGGTCTTGGCGATCTTCTCGAGCAGAGAAGACATGTAGGCCTGAGTAGGGGCCTTCTGGGCCGCGGCCTTCTTCTTCTCCTCATCGGTACCCTGAGCCAACAGACCCTGGGGAACCATAAGGCGCAGGAGGACCTCGTTGGCGTAGTGGGTAGCGATAATGAGGTCAGCCTCGCGGCCGGTAACAACCTCCTTGGGGGCGTCCTTCTTGGGAACAACCACCATATCGCAAACGATGGTTCCGAATCCATCGATCTGAGCACCAAGCTGGATCTTGACGAGCTCGCCGGCCTTCAGGGTGATCTCGGCCTCGGCGGCGTCGGACACCAGAGGAGTGTAGGGAGTCACATAGGAGCTAGGGGAGACAGTAGTGGGGTGAGAGATACCTTAATTTACAAGTTACAATCAGTTCATGTGGTTCTTCTGCCACTAACGGGTAGAGAGGGGGTGGACCAACCCTTGACAATCTTCTTGCCCTTGTAGACCTTGGTGATCTCCTCGTCGAGGAGCTTGTCACCCTTCTGACAGATCTCGACGATCTTCTCTCCCTCCACACAAAGAGCTACGTAGATGTTAGATCACAAAGTGAGACAGTGGGAAGTTCTTGCGCAACGAACCGGCAACAGCGTCAAGGACGTTGTGAGAAATTTGCGCAGCGGTCTTGTACTTGGTCAAGGTATCGGGGTTGTTGAGGGTGTAATCTAGAAAGAATCGTATAATTAGTCATGGTCTATGAACCGAACATATTTTCTTTGTTGTGGTGAGTGCCAGCGAGCTCATGGCCCATATTGGACTCGGTGCCCACAAACGTCAGAGCTTTCCATGAAGTTTACATACCAACCTCGGGTGCTTTGTCTTCCGCCATTGTGAAGTGAATTGAGCTCGTGGAGCTGTAAGAAACAAGTAAATGCAAGTGGTTTCGAGAAAAGTGTTCGGATTGTAAATCCGTGTGAAGCTAGAGGAGAGGAATGGATCGAGATCGAGTCGTGTGCAAAGCGTCGAGAGGGCGTTTAGCGTTGGTGGGGTTGGGTGGTGGTCGCCTGATGTTTCAGGCCCGTCACCTAGGGCTTTGCCGAAGACGTCATGGCCATCTCTCCCTTGACTTCATACTGAGCTACGCCATTGATTTGAGACAAGAGAACATGTATTCTATATTATAACTAGCTAACTTTAGTGTTGATTTTGTTATATAGACCATAAATATCCCTTCTTGATACCCCAGATTCCGCCACAAACCCAGGATCGCTCAGACCTCCAGTCTACTCCGTAACTTCTCCTCACCTGACCAGTCGTTTCCCCTCTTATACATCACTGGGAAGTACGTCAATGTATCCGGGCTTTTATCTTCTATTTATTCCCCTTTCGATGTCTTCTTTGTCATCCTATAGCGTTGTGGCCAGAAGGGTGGATCAGACTGCCAACTGTAGAATATCCATGAAAAGTACCGTTGCCTATATACATACAGAACAACTTTAATGAGGTTAAAAAATACTCTATAATATACACCTAGGCATACCTACATCGGTACAAAATATACATGTACCTAGTTACCTTTAGGACTGTGTATTGCCTGAGGCATAGTGGTAACCTGAGGCAATGCAACATTCCCCTCACTCGTTGTAAACCTGATATCGATGGATGTATTTATACCATTAGTCCATTAGTCCATTACTGGTAGTTTGATCCTCATTTTAAATTCCACGCTATGAGTCCTACAGAACTTCCCATCAGGGTTTTGACACACAATATCCGTTATGCAACCTCATCTCCCTTCAAAGGCGAACAACCCTGGGTTGATCGCAAACAATTGCTGTTGAATGAATTTGAGTATGAGACTCGTCATTGCAGAGAGACCTTCGTCTGCCTACAAGAAGTTCTCCACAATCAACTTGGTGATATTCTGGCTGGGTTGAACCAGGACGGAAACCCCGAAGCACCAGAATGGGAGTATATCGGTGTTGGTAGAGATGATGGCCACGAGGCTGGGGAATACTCCCCTATCATCTACAGACCATCAGTCTGGGAGCTGTTACATTGGGAGACAGTCTGGCTGTCCAAGACACCTGAAACGCCATCTAAGAGCTGGGACGCAGCCTCCATCCGCATTGTTACCATTGGAGTCTTCACTCATCGGGCTAGCCGGAATACGGTCCTTGCCATGAACACCCACCTTGATGACCAGGGATCTCAGTCTCGTTTTGAGGCTGCACGTATCATTATCGGGAAGATTTCCGAATACAGCGAGAACAAATTCGCAAAGCTCATCTCGGGCACTTTCTTGGCCGGCGATTTCAACAGCGAAGAGAATCAGGAGGCTTACCAAGAGTTGACGAAAAGCTTACGTGATGCATACAAGGAAGTTGACAGCTCGAGGCGATATGGTAACCATATTACTTGGACTGGATTTGGGTACGAGGATGAGCCAGCCTCGCGTATTGACTATGTTCTAGTGAGACCTGCAGGGACTCACGGTCAGAGGTTGGCAGTCATTGGCTATGCAGTACTAGGAAATCGGTTCGACGATGGTGTTTTGTGCTCGGATCACCGTGCTGTTATTGTGGACTTAATACTCCAAGACCGAATAGGTACTTAGATAGTGCAATGTTACGGCATATGAATAACAATGGATATGCCAAGAGACCTCGGAATACCCGTGGACCCTGGAGGTTACATTATGTAACACACACGTGGGTCACATGACAGTATGTAAAATTGGTAAACGGGGTCATAGGTTAGCCTGGAGCCCATAGGTGAGTATTGGGAATAGCCTCAAAATATCTTAAAAGTAGTATTATTCTTTAATCTATAATTCCTTTATGGTTGTTGGGTATATAGAGTGAATGGCGCGTTTCTTTGCTTTGATTTGAGACGGGTGCGGACACTTGTAACGGGTACTCTCCCTCCTTCTCCTTTGCCTCTTTCACCATCACCGCGACTTTTAAAAAAAACACAACTGCAACAACTCCCCCGCTTCAAAATAATCTTCCAGGGAAGAATCACGTCCATTGGGATCATCGCAATCGATTGACGAAAAAGGTCAGCTGACTTGGCCCCAACCGACCCGGAGCGGATTCTGCGCTGGAACTCCCGACTGGTCCATTCAAGGAACATCGGCAAGAGCTCTCCCCCTTCGGCCCTGGTATGTTCGATATTCCTTCCCATTTGGTTTTCCTGTCCATAATATTCATATGCTGTCCCCATTCAATCCGTCGCACACCCTTTGCTGGTGACCTGTGGCGTGTTCGGGACATGCGCCCGTTGCGACACGTCCATCCATCAACTTCATCCCCCAAGGTGAAATTGGATACAAGGTCGCGACGGTGATGGATAGTTGTACTCTACTTCTGAAAACACATGCTAATCATGATTTGATCGGATGAACAGGTTCCATCCCATAATGCTACGGTAACCGACCCGAACCTATCCCTGTCGCGTTGAGAGCCACTCCGAGCTTGGAAGATCATACGAGTGGCATCAGACGTTCGTTTCGCATTCAATAGACACCATTCACAATGCCATCCCCTGAAGTGACGGGTGGCTCGCTGCCCTCGGAGCAATCATTCGGGGACATTCAGTCAGGTGCCCAGAACAGCTCTGGCGCGTCGGACACAGGGGACCAAGGCCTAGACGGCATCGACCTTGGGACAAGCCGGTCAACAAATGGTCATACGCCAGATACAATTGCAGAGGGAAAACAAAGTGCAAAGGCTATGCTAGCTGCTTCTGGGGTGTCAGCCTCGTCAGACCCCGGCAGTGAGGTTTCCAATGGTACGTCCCGTTCAAATGGGACGCATGGTTCTGCAAGAAAGAGATCTCATGATGGATCTGCTGCCCAATCTACAGAGGTTTCTGGGGCCATGGCCGTACGCGCCCGCGAAACTCCATTGGATAAGGTTCTCCTGGAGCAGTACGTTGATCGCGAATTTCAGCACTCGGCTGCAGCTGCCTGGCAAAACCCGAGTCAGGAATTACAAAAGAATAAGCGAGCGGAACGCGACTTTTATTTGACAGTACGACGCGAAAATCAGTTAAACCCAGCTGCATTGTATGGTGTGGGCTATGAGGGATTTGGAAACCCCCGTACCGACATGCGCAATCAACACCCTCAACTTCTCTACCCAACCCATAGACGCCGCCCCGGAAACAGAAAGACGCGAGAATTACGCATTTCACGACGTGACGCAAAAACGCAGAACGAACAGATGGAGGATCTGGTCCCCATCCGCTTGGACATTGATTGGGAAAAGGTCAAGATCCGTGATACTTTCACGTGGAACCTTCATGATCGTGTGGTGTCCCCAGATTTGTTCGCGGAGAAGCTGGTTGAAGACATGGGTCTCGCGGTAGAGAGCTCGGTTCCTTTGACGAGAATGATCTCCCAGAGCATCCAGGAGCAGGTGATAGACTATTACCCGCATCTTAACATACACGAAGATCCCCTTGATCCCCAATTACCCTACACCGCATACAAAAACGACGAGATGCGGATTTCGGTCAAGCTCAACATCACCATTGGTCAACACACCCTCATCGACCAGTTCGAGTGGGATATCAATGACCCCAATAATTCTCCCGAAGAGTTCGCATTATGCATGACGGATGATTTATCACTCTCTGGTGAATTCACCACCGCCATCGCTCATTCAATCCGCGAACAGTCCCAACTCTTCACTAAATCCTTGTACATTGTCGCTCACCCATTCGATGGCCGTCCCATCGAGGACCCAGACCTCCACACCTCATTCCTCCCCACCCCTGTGGCTTCTGCCTTCCGACCATACCAATCCGCCAAAGAGCATACGCCTTATCTTTATGAGTTGAATGAGGCAGATCTCGAACGCACCGAAATTTCAATATCCCGAGAGCAACGTCGCCAGAAACGGTCAATTAACCGTCGTGGTGGACCTGCTTTGCCGGATCTCAAGGACCGTCAACGCACGATTCGTACCATGATTGTTTCATCCGTGATACCAAACTCGGTGGGCTCTATGGACGAAAGCAATGTGATTAAACGTACCGGTTCCGGCCGTCGTCGTGGAATGACTGGACACCGGGGCGATGATGATTCCGACGATTTTGATAGTGACGACTCCTCTGTTGGCTCTCCTGCAATTGGGCCCAACCTCGCACAGGGTACTGCTCGTACTAGAGGCATGAGAGGCGCGGCATCTGCAGCCCATGCGGCGCTTCGCGCCAGCCTTGGACAATCTGCAACCCCTGAACCAGTGTATCACGAGCCCCGAGTCTCGGCCCGAAGACAACAATACCGAGAAGAGAGTGTGGATGACTCTGATAAGTTGATAGTGAGATTTAAGATTTCGCGTGATAAGCTAGTCGATCTGAGGAACGGAAGGCGCATTGTCTCCGCCCACTCCAGCGCAGGGCAAGCATCTCGCACGATGGCACCTCCGTCCGATAAACAGTCCCGACTTCACCCTCCCCCGCGACCCCAACAAACCGGTGCTGTTGATGCACCGAACCCTCCGCAGCCTGGTGTTTCTGGCGTGAGTAGATTTTAACCCCAGTTTTTGGCCCATGGCTGACCCTGTGTCTATGCAGCCCCCACCACCCAACTGGCTGGCAGCCGGTCTCAGCAAGTTGAAGCAGTCTCACCCGAACGATTCCTTTGAAGGAGTAATGCGTTATTCCGCCGTCGATACGGAAACCCTGGCCCCCGTGGCGAATCCCAACAACCTCCAGGCTGGCCAAAATATCAAATATCAATACCTCCCCCGTATTCGCTGCCATGACTGCCCCGGAAAGCTGTACACTCCCGGTCCGGGTATGACAGTGGACAACTTTGAAGTCCATCTCCGCAACCGACAGCACAAGGAGCGGGTGGAGGAGCGCCTCACAAAGACTGGTGGCGATGGCGGAAGCGCGAGTGCGAGCCCTCGGATGCCCGCGAGCGCCAGTCCAGCTCTCGGGGCTGCCACAGTCCCTGGAGCACATGCTTCTCCCTCTCCGGCCAGTGGATCTCAGCCATAAGTCAATTTCGTTCATGAAGTGATGACAACGGCGTCCTGTGTGATTACTTCCCACTTCTCTTTCAGATCGCTTATATTCTTTTACACATTTGATCAATTCAATCCATCTACTTCTTCATACTCCAGAACTCTCTCCCATTCCACCCCCACTCGTGTCGGTCTTGCATAGGTTTTGGTTTCTTAGTGCCGGAAGCGATCTATCTTTATCCTTTCTGTTGGCGCTCAATGTTTCTCCGGGGGTGTTTGTGTTTTTTCTTGCTTCGCTGAACCATGTGTAATAGCAGTTTGAGAGACGGGTTGAGCTTCAAGTAAATATCTCTATTTTCTTTTTATTGAGTGACCTAGTAGGAGTAATCTCACATCCACAACTGCCAGTCTATTTGTATCTATTAAAGAACCCTAAGGCTTCTTCCCTTTCTCATAATTCCTTCTCCATCTTTTTCTCCGTCTTCCTCTCTCTTCCCATTCTCAATCCATGCCATTTCCTTCCACCGAGTCCACCATCACCATTCTTTGTTTCTGCTCCTGCTTTCTATCGACTTCTACCCATACCCGGGCCTGCTTATTGCAACTTCCCAGGAGTGTAAAGTTTGTCTCTAGGAACATGGACACTCTTTTGATTCTCCGTTTCCGAGTGCTTTCCCCTATAGGTCTCACAGCTCCTACATGTGATCCCCTACTAATCCTTGCAAGGGTAAGTGGCAGGGGCAGAGTTTCCACTTTCGTCGATTCAGCAAGAGCGAGGCATTTAAGCAGACATTGGCTCGACACGAACCTTACCTAGCGCTGAAGTCCAGGAGGGCCAACGGGTTTTCGACGTTGGTTGTGGTGTTGGTGGTCCCGCGAGGGAAATCGCCAAGTTCACCGGGAGTAATGTCTTCGGCCTTAATAAAAATGATTAACAAGTTGAGTGTGGTACTCTGTACGCACAGAAGGAAGACCGTAGTGATCAGGCCCGCTTTACCAAGGGCGACTTTATGCAAATGACTTTCCCCGATAACAGTTTTGACGCTGTCTACGCGATCGAAGCTACCGTGCATGCTCCTAGTCTGGAAGAAATCTACTCGGAGATTTTCCGGGTCCTTAAGCCTGGCGGCGTCTTTGGTGTTTACGAGTGGTTGATGACCGAGAACTACGACAACGATGACCTCCGTCACCGTGCGATTCGTCTTGGTATCGAGCAAGGGAATGGAACTAGCAATATGGAGAAGATCTCGGTCGCTCTAGACGCGATGAAGAAGGCTGGGTTCGTGCTTGAGGTCAGTGAGGATCTTGCTGGTAGTAACGATGAGCTTCCTTGGTACTGGCCTCCGAGCGTATAGATATACCTAAGTACCCACTTTTACGGCTTAACAATCGAGGCAGAGATTCCACTTCCGCCGCTATCGAGGTCTTGGCTCGGGATTTCTTTTCTCGAATATACTTCATAGGTAACAAGTAGTTAAATGAATATTCTTAACTTACTCCGTACTGGGATGTAAATTACAACACCCTCCACTAATAAAATAAATGTACTAAGGCTGGCTCGGGCTTACTACATCGGGACCCCGCAACCCTAGTCAAATTCATTGCTTCAGCTCTTTACTCATCTCCCTTTCCTTTCTCCCTAGTTGAACCATCTTCCCTCATATCTATCAATCAGTAAAATGACAACGGAACAGTTCACCATTCAACTAGCCTCCCCAGCAGAGGGCCCCATTCTCGGCAAAATAAGCAGTGACTCGTTTCTAAATGACCGCCACACTCAAATGAAAGGACTAGGAAAGGACCCGTACGACCTCGAAAAGTCAATGACAGCATATCTTTCCCAACAAGCCGTGTCACCGAGAACAGTACTTCTGAAAGCAGTAGACAACGAAACAGGCGACACTGCCGGCTGGGTCTTGTGGAGCTTTCGAGGGTTCGCGGCTGAAGAAACTACAGATATACGGGATACTGTTCCACCTGCAGCAACACAATTCACGTCGACAACCTCGACACCAACCACGGGGAAGACCGCTCCCAAAGACCAAACCAAGAAAGTCGACATCGATGAGAACGACCCAATCAAGCAGCTCGAAAGGATGACCGATGCAGACATGAAATCCTGGATGACGAAGCTCATGCCCGATGGCACCAAATGCATGTATGTTAACTCGCTTTGTGTGGCACCCAAATGGCAGTCCAAAGGAGTCGGGTCGGCGCTTCTACAATGGGGTACAAAGACGGCAGATGCAGCGGGAGTTTTTATATGGGTGCATTCTTCGGCGGATGCATGGAAGATGTATGCAAAATATGGGTTTAAGATTATTGGGACACTTGACGTGGACTTGGACCAGTATGCTCCAGCGTCGGCGCCAGATAACGATGGGAAATGGGGTCATTACGTGTTTCGGTATATGAAGAGAGAGCCATCTCAGGAATGATTGTACCTTGACTTGTAATCGGTAGGTCGAATTCGAATATGAATCTTTTCAACACGCAAATAAGTTGGACTAAAGACCTCTTATCAGAGATCTCGGTGAGTACAATTTAGTATATAGAGTCGTGTTTTTTTGTCACGAGTAACACCTTCAGTCTCGTCATGGATAATGCCGAATAACTAAGTGCCTCGGTCAACAGTATCTAAACATGATGCGTCAGGCTGTGAACCAAGATTTCTACAACAGCCCTGATTTCCCCGAAAAGCAAACGTTAATTCTTGTACAGAATATCAGACCAGGTCCTTGGTGGATGCGAAAGTTACAGTAGACGGGTTAAACCTTAGAAGCATCCATATAATTCCATTTTCTTAACGGAACTACAATGTAAAAAAGTACTTTTGAAACAAAGTTCAATTCATTTACAGATAGAAAGCATATATCTGACGGGAATACGCAAAGAGACAGACAGTCGTGAAAACTCGGGCACAAGCCCCATGCAAACTTGAAGGGAAAAAAAGGCAGATGGGGTATACATCTCGGACCATCACTGAACTGCAAAGAAACAGAGCAAAGGGGGGCGAAATGGTGAAACCATAATGAAAATAACATGGGAATCAGGATATGAATATGGATATGAATATGAATATCGACGGGGACGGGGACAATCCACGCAGTAATCGCACAACTTATTTAAATCTGAGAACAGCACTAAGATCGATACCAGACGTCTATGTTCCGACGATCTTGGCCGAGGAACTCATAAATAAATGACCATTGGAGGCGTGTCTGGGACGAAATGAGAGACATGGCTCGTATGTAAACACACCGCTGGACGGGGCCATGCTATGTCCCAGTAGCCCACCGGAGGTTTCTATCCACGACGAGAAGAGCGTCGCGAAGGCAAGCTGGCTGCCTCAGGCTTCTTTGCTTCAGGTTTCTTTGCTTCAGGCTTCTTGGCATCGCCCTTCGCAGGAGTGGCCTTTCCGCCTCGCTTCTTTGCAGATGGAGGAGGCGGCGGCGGCGGCGGCGGCGTGGGTTCCTTCTCACTGACCTCAGGCTCATCTTCCTCAGAGAGTTCTTGGTCGTTGTCCGTTTCATGAGTTTCTTCGTTCTCACTTTCCTCCTCCGCTTCATCTTCGCCGTCGTCTTTTTCTTCGGGTTGATCCCACTCTGCCATCTCCATATCGGCATCATCGCTGTCATTGTCGATATAGCTAACTTCCGGCTTCGTGGTGCCTCGAACACTGCGTCTGCGAGACGAAGCAGGCGTAGTGCCTCCAGCACCTCCGTCAGAAGACCAGCCATCGTCGTTCTTTGATTTCCGTTTCGACTTGGCTGCACTGATCGATGATGTGGACTTGCGGGCGGGACGAGCAGACTTTTCCTTGCGGGCCTTTTTGGACACCGAGGTTTTTCCGTTCGCATCGAGAGACTCGGGTTTTCGCTTCTTGCTTGATCCGCTCTGTGAAGCGTGGGTAGAGTTACTCCTTGGCTTCATTGCAATTCGTACGACGCGATCAAGCAGATCATCCAACTCATCTGGAAGGAAGTTCTTGTCGGCGACGTCTTGGGCTTCGCGGTGACTGCTCATGGAGGTGAAGAGGGAGCTTGGGACTCCCATCTTTCCAGGGTACGTTTGCAAGATGTTGGTTGCGCCGGCGGCACCGCCAAACTTGTGCTGTTGGGAGTAGACATCTGCGAAACGGCGAATAGTTGCTTGCGCCAGATCTGAGAGAGTGTGGAGGCGGGTGGAGATCTCGTCTGATTTGGTGATGCCATCGCGGAATTGCTTGACGCGCTGTCCGACGTGGAAAATCAATGACATGTTGTGTTCATTAGCAACTGCGGAGAGGTAGAAAAGGATATATTGAGAGAAGTCGGTCAGATCGCCGAGTTTGGTTGCCTCATCCAGATCCTCAGACGGGTAATCAGGGTGGTAGGCAAGCAAAGAAAGGAGACGCGAGAAGATCAACTCCATGACCATGGTCTGTTCCGTCCGTTTCCCACTGGCTTGCGCCTGTTGGGCGAAGTATGCCGCACGGGACCGCAGCCATGTAAGCGTGCTCTCTTTTAGACTATGAACAGGTTCGAAAGCAAGCAAACAGGGGACAATGTACCATCGGTGGCTCAAATGTGACTTTTGGACGAGTTTCTTCTTTAGGTGGTTGATGAATCCACTCCGCACCTGCAAGAGTGGATCCTGAGCAACCAAAGCGACTGCATTGAAATCAGACGGCGTCAACAGACCGTCGCAGACAGTGCTAGAAGCACAGAGCTTAAGCAATGACTTGGCAGCCAGGAGGCGAAGGCGAGATTTTTGGGCTGCAGGGGTATCTTTCTTCTTCGAGATCTCGCCTTCGCCGACCACTAACTTATTCAAGGTTTCGTAGACAGGCTTTGCGTGGGCACGGAAGTCAGCTTCATTGTCTGCTCCGTCCTTTGCCCGAAGGCGGTTGACAATGATTTTCAATGCCCATTCTTTAGCCTTGGTCTCATCATCAACTGTTTCTGACCAGTTGTATTCAGAGTCTGGTTCGGGTGTGCGATTGGTGAGTAGGATTTGGTTGATGGCAATCGAAATAATAGCATCGCTTTCTTCATCTGCTTCTCTCGGTGCAAGGAGGTTCAGCTGCGACAGAGCAGCCAGGCGAGTGAGGAATCGATCAGATCCGTACGTCCACTTTGCAACGCACTTATGTACCAAATCCTTCGCATACATCTCTTTTCGGTCAGCTGTGGCCATGAGAATTGACACGGCATGTTTCGCAGAATGCGGTGATGAACTATAAAGGGCGTAGTTGGACAGAGCCTGGAAGAACTTGCGCTCTTTGGGGAGTTTAGCAGGAAGCTTTTTAGCGAAACCAGCACAAGCCTTCAAAATGTCTTCAGCACTACCATCACCGGCGGAGGAAGCCTTGGGGGCTTGAGCCTCAAGGTCTTTGCACATCTCTTGGACCTGTGCCTCTAGAACTTCTGGATTTTGAGATGAGATTTGCTTTAACATCTCTTGTGCAGCATTGGCTAATCCATTCTCATCTGTTCGGGACAAACTCATGATTGCTGGGATGTGGCTCCGGTTGAAGATCAAAGACCCACATCGATACACAAGAGGAGTCAATGTTTCCAGCAGGGGAGAGTTGTTTGCACTCTGGACCCGCCGTTGGAGTTCTTTCGTGGCCTTGACAACAGTGCGATAATCACTCACAGCAGCCATGGTGAAGCGAATCAGCTGATAGCTTCGTCGATCATGCACCTTGGCGAACTTCCACAAATCTGCTGATGCGCGTGAGGCATCTGGGAAGGTCTTGGATAATGAATCAATGATCTTGGACAATTGTGTCTTAATCTGTTCCTCGTCCTTATCGACAACGCCACCATTGTACTTCTCACAGGCCTCTAGGTAAAGCGTCACTGCCGATCTCATCGACAATTGACGGGCCAACATAACGAAAAAGACTCGTCTCGCCTTTTCATCCAGCCCTCGGAGCAAGGTAAGAATTCGGCGAACGCGAATCTTGTCAACATCTGTCTCTTGCTCGGGTTCGGATGCCTGGCTATCCTTCTGCTTCTGTGATTGGTTCGAGCTGCCTCGAGCAAGTTTCGCTTTGATAGGGGGATAAGGAAGTGGCAGAAGTGTCTCAAACAAGACGCGGTCGATCAGAATATGAATTTCTTGATCATTGGTGTAAAATGCATCAAATATCTTGGATGGTGCATCTTTGAGAAGGGACACGACGGGCTCTGTATTTTGCTCAATGTCACCAGCAGCCACGGCCCACATGCGAGCCAAAATCTTCATGGCATGCTCACGTACATGCGGTTTGCGATCCTTGACTCGCTCGGCAAGAATAGCAAGAACCGAGTCTGGTGATGAACAGCCACCATCCACACTTAGCTTGTGGACGATTTGAGAAAGCCCA